CAAATGAAGCTGGTTAGATCCTAATTAATCTGAAAAGGACTAATTCATTGATTAGCCAATTAGATTACAAAAATGGAGATGAGCTTTGAGATTTTAGGATAAATTTTGTTCAAAATTGGTCAATTGTAATCGTCAATGTCCAGTGTTAAGATGTTTATAAATGTTGCTTAAAGATGGCTGATACTTTGCAGTTGCCATAGCAGAAAATCATTTGATCAAGGAAAGACATTGATGTAAAATGTAAACACAGATGACATTCATGATAACACTGCATAAAACAATCAATAAATAATTATTTTGTATATAATTAAAAATAAATTAATTATGCCAATCTTCCATAATTACAATAAATTTATCCAACAAATTAATAAAAAAATTAAGGTTAAATTAAACACAATTATGTACTTAAAATTCAGGTTTGTTTAGCCGTTTGTTAATATTAATTATGGCAGAGGTGTCGCTAAGATTTATTTAGTGAAAAAAAACGGAATGTTTTTAAACCCTTGAAACCCTTCTGGATACGCCCCTGCAGAGCATTAAAATGCCAAAAGGAACAAAATCATTTGTAAAAGAACAAAAGATAAGCTTTCCATGAAAAAAAGCGAAAGAAAAACAAAAAACATTAAAAAATTTGAATATTTTGAAAGTCTTCTTAATTCATGACAACAATGAGAAGTAGAAAAGCATTTCTGTTGACAGCTAAGAAACAATCCTCTCGATATTGTAAATTTTTACCTGTGAAAATTCGAAAAAATACTCCAAAAACTAAAAAATTTCTTCTGGAACTGAAAACAATCTGGATCTAACTTAATGTGAGATCACGAAGGAAGTTTTTTTTTGTTGAAAAAAGTTTGATGAATATTTCCTGTCAATATTTTTTTTGGGTAATTCGTTTGACATATTCTATCAATTTTTACATTAAAGGTCTTATTTTAAAATATCTTTTTTTCGTTTCTTGTATTTTACTAGAGATGCTTTTGTGAACCCTTTTCATAAATATATTTGAGTTTGAAAAGGACTTTATTGAAATTTTTTTCTGAAAATTCAAAGAAAAAATTCACAAAAAAAATACCAAGATTGACAAATATACACATGAGTGGTGATTGCTTCCTTGCCAAAAAAAACTTATTTTCATAAAAAAAGTCAGTAAAACATCCTACACAAAATGGCATGAATTTAAAGACATCCTGCCATAAATTCAATTTCATGAATTTACACAAGAATAAATTTAAATAATAAGTGTATACAACCTTCAACCTTAACAGTTTTTTAAAAAGTATAATAACGTGACTTAACGTACTTACTTTACAGGGATTCAAGAATTTTTTATATTTCAAATTGAAAGGAAAAAATGTTTCGCTTATTCTAAAGAATTTTTATTCAATAATGTTTAATCTAAATGATTATCTAATCCATTTAATTTATTTGGCTTTTTTTATCATTAGTCACTCACAATTGTTTTGGGCATTTTTTGTCACAAAGTTTGAAAAAAATCTCTCTAGTTTAATGCTAGGATAATACATTTACTAAAGGCTTTAAAATAAACCAGACGTATTAAAACTTCTTGTAACAATAAATCATATGACTTGTAATTCAACACAACCGCATCTACCCACCAAAAGTTTTACAAAACAACTTTATGGCTTGAATTAAATTTCCTCTCCAATTTTATATACGAAAAGTTTCCTCGCTACATAGAAGAATGAAAGTTAATAATGAGCTTATAATATTGTTACAGATACACCTGCGATTGTGGTTTCAATACATTTAGAAAAGTTTATAAATAACTCGACTTAACAGCTTTAAGCCTTTTTAGATGAAAAAGGAATCCAGAATTAAATTATTAGACTTTACTTACATACTTACTTCGCTGGTCGAACAGTTCGATTGTGATGCATAGCCTTCCTTAGGTGACGCCTTAAGCTGGCTCATGCCAAATTAGACTTTAAAAGGACTTTTTATGGCGCATATCGAAAAATGTGATAAAATTTAAATTTTTAGAAATCAAATTTTTTTAATATCGCGCACTTTCACTGCTATTCTTGATAAACATTGATAGACGTCATTACTAAAGGGACTGTTCACTTATTACGTAACGCGAAAAAATGACTTTTTAGACCCCCCCCCCCTCGTAACAAAATTTGTATGAAAAAAAAAAATTTCCTTGTTTGAACCGTAACAAAATCTTAGACCCCCCTCCCCCCCGAAAAGCGTTACGTAATAAGTGAATGGCCCCAAATGGCATCTAAGGTGAAAACTGTTTTGAAACCGTGTTATTTCCCTTAATTAATTATTATAAATTAAGACATCTACATCAATGCAAATTGACAAATTCTCATTTTAAAAGGTTTAGTAAATAACATTTAAACATGTGTCAATCGAATCTTCATCCGTGTGGAAATATCCATTACAGAAATTTATTATTTTGCATGCTTTACCACCAAGGAACTAACACAATGGTTTGTAAAATGACCACTACAATTCGTTTACCACAAAATTGATTTCTTGTCTGAAACTGTAATATTTAAAAGTAATCAGCATATCTTGATTAAATCCAAGGCAACATTCAAGTTTTAAACAATTTACTTAATAACATTTTTATCAACTATTTTCATCAATGAATGCAAAAAAAAAGGCTTATGGTGAGAAGATAACAGCTGTCATGCGCAATCTATGTTTGTCAAAGTATTCTCGTGAATTGACAGTGAAAAAAAAACCTTTTAACATCATCAGTTGATATTCTGAAGTAGTCTAGATCGGATGTAAGATAAATATTGTTGAAGATGTAATTTTCCTGAGTGAAATTTCTTTCAGACTCGTGGATAAATAATAAAAATAGAATTTTTTAGACATGAACATTGTGTTATGAATAATTGAGCAAGTGAAAATTTGAAATGCTGCGAATTTTATGCTAAAAAGTTTGTGATGAGAATGTTAATATTTAAAATATTATTGATTTCAATTTCTTTTGCTTGAAGATGAATTCACTTTGGAAAATTGTTTGGAATGTCTATTCAAATGAGTAAGTCTAACAATTAATAAAATAGATCTGCAGAATTATTTATTAAGACAATTATTTAAATTCAAGATAATTTTTTAATACAATTTTCAGTTTCAATGTTATTCTCAAATCCATCTTCATTCTCATTCCATCAGTAGCCAGTTTTATCTAAACCTTCTCCTTTCTTTTTCCCACGAATATCTAAATGGTAAACATATGCAATAAATCCTTTTTTAAAGCTCAAAAATGCTTGAAGCTTCGTCTTAGCATAATTAAAATTATAAAAAAATTATTTTCACGTCTTAACTCCGACAAAAGTTAAATGAAAATTATTTTATCTCATTTCAATGTATTTAAAATTCAAAGCAAGCATGTTCATGCGTTGGTATTTCTAATATAGACGGATATAAGCGTAAAGACGTAATTTGAAAACAGGAAATTGATTTTTTTTAAATATATTCCACATCTTCTTATTTTTTACGTCTCCATATGCCTTTATTCCCGAATGATGCTGGCATTTTACTTTCCAGAAACCTTTGTTTGTTTGCAATTCTTAAGATTTTTTGAGATTGTAATAAAAAAAACTGGTTGCAACATCAGCATTATCCTTCTTTAGTCGCTCATACAATATATAAATATTTTACATTGAAAAATGCTCAAAAAGTCACTTAAAGTTTAACAGTTATGTTGAAAATATTTTAAAGTTTTAAATTCAATCCAAAGCATGTACAGCTTCTCATAAAAGACTTTAATTAAAGTTCAATAAAGCTGGTTTTTAGCTTTACATTAAATGATGCTTGAAAAATTTAAACCTCACTGTACAATTTAGATAAAATACCGATATTCATGACTCATGCTCGAGTCATTACAAAAATCAAATTGATGAATTGTTGCACTTTAGAGCATGACATTTTGAGGTTGGTGGCACAACAACAGCATTTGAATAATATGAATAATGTGTGAAGGGCCCAGCATTTGAGCTGGAGGCACTGCGATTCAACTACAGCATTTAGTCAGTAACAATGTTGATGGATAGATCAACACTTTCTTTTTTTTGTCTCTAATTGTCACTCAAATATTCGACAATTTAAAACATTTCGTTGCTACGTCACTGATTAAAGCTGTACATAAACCCTATAGATAAAGAAATCATACTTTTTAAATAGTATGAGCTAAATTAAGATCAACATTGTTCTTGGGAATACTAAACAAGGGTACAAGTCAGCTGGATTTCTGAGTCTTCAGCTGCAACTTGCTTATAAATTGCGCCTAAAAGTATTTTTGTTGACAAAAATTCAATTTTATGATAAAAAAAAAGTTGTAAAATTAAACACATTCAATGCTTATGTAGTACGTGTGTATCTTGTTATCAAAAGAAAATAAAGTAAAAAAGAAACAAAAATTTTGATAAGAAGCAAAAAAAAGAAATTCGAGACACTTGATGTGCTTCAAATCTTACATTCAAACGTTTAATAGACAATTTAAAAATAGTCCTTAAAGCACTTGCACTTATTCATATTTGAAATATTATCAAATTATAGGTACTTTTAAGAATCGAGCATATTTTAAGAAGTTTGTCTAATGGTTTTTCTTTCCAAGTCCTAAGCATTATTAATGAGTTCTATATCCTTCTGGAACTATTAGATTTGTCAAAATTTTGTTCAGAAGAAATTTAAACAGGCGTCAAAATATGCGTTACTAAATATTGTTTTAAAACACATAAACACCTTTACACGCGCACGTCATTTGTGATTTTGATATATTGAAAGAAAATATCATGAACGTATTGTTCTCTTAACTAAATTCAGTATAGTGGTGATTTGATAACAGAATAGACGACAAAAGTGCTTGAACAACTCTTTGTGATTCAATCTTTTTTATTTATTAAAAAGTGAATTAATTAATATTATAATATTTATTCATTATTAACATTAGAATTGAATTCTTAGACTGGAATATTCAGTGAAATTACTTACAATAGATTGAAGCTTTCATATAGCTATAGTCTAATATGTATTCAAGTGATTTTAAACAGAATAATTTATATTGCATTGTATAGTAAACAATAAATATTTTTATATAAATTGAATTCTACTAGTGAGAAGTAGTACTTGTAAGTTGTATTTAACATTATTAAAATTGTGATGTGGACAATTGAGTTTGAATTCAATACAATGCTTATCAATCGAATTTTTCTAGATTTAAAATATTCCTGGTTTTGACTTGATCATACTAAGATGATATTTATTAACATTCTGGTTAACACATCAAAAAATATCTAAAAGTTCAAGTGCAACTAATAGTAACATAATGTTACTAACAATTACATTTAAATTATGTTGGTAAAAATGAATAGTTTTAGTTCGAGTAATGATTTTTAAAGTCAACAAGTGCATTATTTAAATTTCAATTAGAAATAAAAACAACTTTCAGCAGTGCTGTTAATTTTAATATGTTTTCGGAACTTACTAAACCAACAATTACAGCATTCAGCACTCATATTTTAATTGCATTTAAAAGCGTTGCATTTTTGTTTGATTTAAATATATTAAAATGATCAACATTATGAATTTGCCATTTGATTTTTATGTAAAGTAATACTTATTCAAAATGTGAGATTTACATAGTTTTGTTTTAATTTGATATACAGGAAAATTAAAAAATTCTTCAAATTACTATATAGGGAGAAAATAGCAATACCAACACATTGAAAACTTTATCTACAACAACAAACTTTTTCACTTAGCAAATTATCATTTTCGTGAAAAAAATTGAGAAACTCTTTTTTTATCAAAAATAATGTATACATTGACAACAGGGCTTTCAATACATGAAATCATATCTTATCTGCTTTAACAGCTACACATTCTCTTATTTTTTTTTTGTTAAGTTTTATTTTTCACATAGTTGAACTATGTTTTAGATAAAATTTTGCTCGTTTTTTTAATGTTGTGGTGTCCGAACTGAGTGGAATCTGAGCTATATAAGAATCTGCTAGACAGAAAAATATTTTAAAACCCCTGGAATCAATTCTAGTCGTATCGACACAGAAATCGATTTCTGGTGAAAATTGAACTCGTGTCCTTACAAAAGTAAGAGTCTCTATTGCTGTCACAGTGACTGATTTGTCTGCATATGGCACATATCCAAGATCTTACTCTCAATAATTGTAACCATAAATTTCATAATTAACTTTAATTACATATTTAATTATCAGACAATTTAATGTCATATGGAATTAATACACATGGGAAATTTTCGTTCATATTGATGTCATATAAAATGTAAGCGGCAGAACCATAAAAGACTGAAAAATTGTTTCTTCTTCTTCCATCACTACATGACAATTCATTTAAAATGGCTTTTCTCTGCTTTTCATCATAATTTTTAGTGATAAATGAGACAAATGAAGCATGAGAAAATTTTTATCGTTTTCATATCTTTAAAAATTGCTTAAAATACTTGAAGAACATTGCATCTAGTTAAAAAACCAACTAGCAAATTGAAATATTTTTTTTAAATTTTATTACGAATGCAAAATTGGCTCAAAGAAATCTTTCACATGCTAATTGATCTTATCAAAAAAGAGAAAAGAATATCTTTACTAACGAAATTCATCAATAATCAACAAGGAATTTCTGTACTTATGAATTATAGTTGTATAGCAATTTATAAATCATTTATTTATTTTCTTTTTTCAGACTAGCAATTCTATATGAGCCAGCAAACTTTCGAGCAGGATTTTAATCGTATACAATGTCATATATGTTTGTTAGGACGTCATGCATCGAATACTAGAACTCATTTACATAATTGTGTTAATATTGTCAGTAGCATCTGAAAAAAATAATGATGTAAGTTTCAATCTGCTTAAACATTTTTTAATTCTATGTGATGAATAATTAAAAACATTATTGTTTTTGTTCTACATCAGAATCACCAGCATATGCAATCAAAAGGTCGGTATGAAACTTTAATTGCTATTTTTAATGATGTTAAATGTATTTTCTCAAAATCAACAATTTTTTTAATGTCTTTTAACCACAGATATTCATGTCGAAGCTTTTGCTGCAACACGAATTTTGCAATTTAATATAACGCTGATGAAAAGCATTCAAAAACCATATGAAATTGAAATAACATCAGTGCAACAAGACGAAGAGGATGATAAATTCTGTCCTCCCATTTTTCATTGTCTCTTGCATGTGTCACAGGTAAATAAATTAAATTCAATTTTAATTTGATTAATTTAAAAAATAATGTATAATTACTAAAATTCCTGTTTTTATTCGTTTTTCCTCAAGAATATAATGTCAACAGTTATACCTGAGAATTCTTTTTACAGAACTGATCGCGATGACTGTATTTTTCATAACGATTGTTATTATAACATTTCTGTAAGATCATTTGATAAGATTTTTGATGAAAGCATCATTTTTCATTCAAAAGGTAAGCAAGTAGTTTTAAAACTTAGATCAGGGGCTTATTCAAAAAGAAAACCCCTCTTCCATCCCACACCACATTATTTATTGAATATATTAATTGTTTTAAACAAACAGAATTGTCTGAAAAGCAAACAAGGGTGTGGAACTGAAGAATTACATTTTGATCATTTTTGATCATTTTTTTGGTCATTTTTGATCATTTTTGATCATTTTATCAGTACCACACCCTTGATAGCAAATCATTAATGTTTTATTAATAGCAATACTAGTTGCTTATACATAAAACAAAGAGTGAGGTTAAATTTGGACCTTGAGAGACAATATTGTCTTGTCAATGTGAATTCTTGGAATTAATTGAGAAATATAATATAACTGATATCACGTACTGAATCATGGCTACGTCTGTAGTTTGCCTTGAGTATTAAAAAATCAGAAATTTTCAATTGACATCAGTTAAATCTAATTTTAAAGCATACATGATTCAAAACGTCATTTCTCTAATAAAGATGCCTGAATAATTTTTAAACAGACTCATTATTTTTATCTTACTTTTACTTACATTGATGAACATAATAAATCCAGGCTATTATTAAAACGAACATTATTTTCAACAGAATGTGTTAATGGTCTCTGTGCATGTAAACATTCTTCAAAGCTACCCACACCAAAAATAAACTCAACAATAATGGACTTAAATCAGCTATACTTTAAATGGCAAATCAATAATGAAGAATTAGCAAAGCTACCAAATAATACATTTTTACAATTTTTAACAATCGAGTAAGTAGATTAAGTTTCAAATTTTCAATTGGAAGTGAGCTTTCAAGCATCAATTTCAGAATACACGAGCTTAAAAAATGTAATATATCATGGACATATAAGTCATCATTAGCTTCGTTTCATGACGATCTGAATCAATATGGAATTTTAAAGGCAAATGGCGACTACAGAAAGCATTTAAACTCTAATATGACTAGTGAATGCTTACGAATTCGAATGAATGTGATTGATGACAAAAACTGTATAGGACCAAAATATGAAGAGATGATAAAAATTCCAAAACGAGAATATAAAGCTGTTGGCAAAACTGTAAGTTGATTCTTATTAAACCTAGGATGAAAGGACAGAGATGATAGGCTGTTCTGTACTGTTTATTTTTGAGGATGCTTCTAAAATAAAGAAATAACATGATGAAAATTGGAACTTATAAAACTTTTTCCAATCAAGTTGTTCTCCCGTCATTCTAAAATAAAGACCTATCGAACCTGATTTATATATTAAAATTTAAGCTTTATTTCCATATGAGTTGTACTTTTACTTAATTGAGTATTAAAAACTTTTCCTTACGATTACATTCGCAATACATAAAATTCATTGTGCAAACTATTTTTTACAGTTCACCATACAATTCGTGTTAATAACTGTGGTCAGCGTACTAAGTTTTTGTGGTATAATAATGATAACTATATATGGCTATGTTTGGTGGAATAGGAAAAAGAATATCATCAACTATTGGCGTGGTATATATAATAACAATCCACAGCATGGGTAAGTTAAACTTTTCTATTTGATTTTTAAATAATCTAGAAAGAAATTTACTTTGTTTTTTTTTTTTTGTTGAACAAATAGCTCGAGTGGATCACAAATGATTCCAATGCGAGAGAATCCATTGTACATGAACCGAGATTCGACGGTAAATAAATGTTAAATTTATTTAAAACTTTGTTCAATAGTGAAATTAAAATAATATTATACCTTTTCAATTTAATTCATTTTCACAGGATGATGATTTCTACGAAATACCGCCTTCATCTATAAAGGAAATTGGTAGAGAGATAGGAAAAGGTGCTTTTGGAAGAGTGTATATTGCTCGAATAAGTGAAATACCAGGAAAAGTTTCACCACAAATAGTTGCAATTAAGAAGCTTAAAAGTAAGTGAATTGAAATTTTACTGCTAATTAGAAAATGTACAAAGAAAGTGCAATGCAGAATGAAATGCAAGATTTGCTGCTTGGAAACTACAGTTATAAAGCCAAGTATTTAATTTTGACCTTTGCAGAGGACCATTTGACTTTTGAACGCTATTTAGCATTCCTTGACGCACTCAAAAGAAAATCGTGGAGCTATTATAAATTAATTTACACTTTTTTTATATAAATTTTTACAGGACATCCTACATCAGAGCAATTAGAAGAATTTTTAAGTGAAATATCGACAATGAAACGAGTCGGCAAACATCCAAATATTGTCAGACTTTTAGGTTCATGTATGGTTGATCAAAATTTAATGATGGTCATGGAATATATCCCATGTGGTGACTTGGTATGTTATCCTAAAATTTATGTGAACAATTATAAGATTAATTAATCCAATTAATATAATTCTATATTACATTCACACCCACAAACAAACAGTTAAGATATTTAAGAGCAGTTCGTGCCAAACACGAAGCTAGCTTGAAGCATAATCAGTTAGAAAGTCAATTAAGTAGCAACAATATTAATAATAACAATAATAATAGCAGCAATTCAAACAGTAGTTTTATGAAAAATTCAATGAGTTCACAGACGATATTAGGACCCCTTGGGAAATATCTCGATATTCTGCATTCTCATTCAACGTAAGTATTGAATTACAGATATTTATTGTCTATTAATAATATAATTTAATTTGAATAATACTTGATTGTTAACAGAAGTTCTGCATCTGAAACGTCATCTTATATAACTCAACCAGATAGCTTACCTTCTGGAGTTTTAATTGGAAATGGATCATCTCGACCATCATATGCTGAAAGTGAGTTTCTTTGAAATGTTCAAATGCTTATTATTGCGTTATGTCGATGTGGAACATAATTTATCAAAGAGAAAAGTTTATCTTGTTACATAGTTTTTTTTATATATATTCTTCTTCTATATAGCATCTTGTTCATGCACTTTAACAGAACAAAAAAATTTCTTAAAAACCTAGTTTTTAATTTTTGTTTTCCTTTTTTTTGATTTCCTTTTTTTTAACAGCAATGTTTACAAACTTAACGGTACCATCAAATCCAGAACTTACACCAATGATTCCTTCATTAGAATACGTTGTTGATCACACAGAACTCCACAACTTTGCAATGCAAATAGCTCATGGTATGAAGCATTTAGAAGAGAAGCAAATTACTCACCGGTAAGTGTGTTTATTTTAGCAGCAATTTTTAAGGACGGGCTTATTATGTGCTGTAAGGTATAAGGTTGCATTATTGAATACGTCATAAACATTGATACTCAGTTAATGAGAAATACATTAAATATCTAGTTATTCAAACATTCAATTTTCAAAAAAGCTTCTACATTGCAAACTATTTATATGCTTAAAGGGTTAGAATAATTAATAGATAGCATCAGCTCTATATAAATCTCAACCTACTTTAGTAAATCAAACAGCATTTACTCCTTTGCATTTAAAATAGAATTTTAAGTACACACTAATTTCAATATGCTCAAATTTATTTTTTCCAGTGACTTAGCCGCTAGAAATATTCTAATAGATGAAAATAAGAATTTAAAAATATCAGATTTTGGATTAAGTAGATGGGGAATTTACGTAAACACAAAGAATAAAAAGGTAAGTTGAGGAAAATTTCCATAATTGAGTACGCCCGGGTGGACACAGCCAGTTAAAGTCCATTATTGGACAATCATTTAACAGTCTTTTAACTTGCCAAAATTTATACGACATAAAGAACTAGACGTTAACTAGACTTTAACTGGACATTCATGCTAATCAATCAAGTGCTCGAAACTCAAAAATAATTTTCCTTACTTTTTTGGCCATATACTTCACAAGCGCTTGCAGAAATCACTTATATAAGGTCTACCAAAATTTGTATGAAAATTTTAAGTAAATATAAATGTTTCACGCGCAAGTGTTCGAGACTCAATGTTTAATAGAGATTTTTATAAGTGTTAGTGTACTTTAATTAATTAATTACACTAATACAATAATAATATTTTACAAAAGAAAAAAATATGGAGAAAAAGACACGTGTTATTTATTTTATTTCGATTATTTTGTAACTGGACATTAACTAGACATAATTGCAATTCCTATGTCCAGTTAAATGGAAAGCGCAAAATATGTCATTAGTCGTCCCTAAGTCTAGTTGCAAAGGCACGTCAATGGATCCTTACTCGCCATGAATAGACAAGTCAATGGCAAGCTTTTAACTAGTACTTTGTCCACTCGGGACGGTTTTGTTCATGTTTAAATGCTTGAATATTTAATAGAGCATTGGCATTGACATTTTTTTGAGAATTTTATTTATTATCATCCAACATTTTTTCAAATAAGGTCCCACTGAGATGGCTTTCGATTGAAGCAATGAAAGACAATTTATATTCAAGTAAAAGCGATGTTTGGTCATTTGCAATTGTGCTGTGGGAAATTGCGACATTAGGTATGTACAAGATGTAAAACTTTAACATAAAATTTGTCATACATGCTGTAAAAGTCAAAAAAATAATTTTGAATCTCCATATTCTTCTATTGCATTACTGGGGGTCCTCGATTTGAGTAGATTCTATTTGAGTAGATTCGATTTGAACAGAAAATTTATTACCCACCAAAATATTCGATTTGAGTAGATTTCTTCCTGTTTTCTTCGATTTGAATTGTTTACAAAACAAATATTTTTGATAAAAACATTTCAGAAAATAATTTTAAAACATAAATTTTACTGCGATAAGCGTGAACTTATCATATTGATAGAAAAAACAATACTAAAGTTACAAAATTAAAGTAAAAATTTAAAAAATCTATATAAAATCAACGATTTTAAAAAGTTCAAATTCAAAAACCTTACAAATTGTTCAGTGAAATAACATTTGCAAGGTTCTCATATTTTTGTTTTGTTTCAAAAACATTTTTTTTGTTAATTTCCGTTTAAAAACAATATGAATATGCGTTGAAATAAATTAAGTTATCTAAAACACAAAGGAAAAGTTAAGAAACGAGGTAAAATGTGCCAAAAATGATCAAAATTTTCATTGTTTTGATTCATTTTTTGGACTCTGGAACAAAACATGTAATTTTGTATGGATTCTTTGCCTCGATTTGAATAGATTCGATTTGAGTAGAAATTTTTTGGAACAAAACAACTACTCAAATCGAGGACCCCCAGTATTATTGAAAGGCAAAAGGATTATGAGCTTTGAAATTCGATTCTATTTTAAAATCAAAGTAAAATTTTCAAAGAAATTTTCAAATCAATTTCGATTTATATTATTTCAAAAATTACCATAATCTATCTAGGGGCTGTTCACTTATTACGTAACGCGAAAAAATGACTTCTTAGACCCCCCCCCCCCTCGTAACAAAATTTTGTATGAAAAAAAAATTTCCTTGTTTGAATCGTAACAAAATCTTAGACCCCCCCCCTCCCCCTAAAAGCGTTACGTAATAAGTGAATGACCCCCTAGCCTTTTCTGGATCTTCGTAACCAAGAAACTATTTTTAAATATTTCTGAACGACAGAAAGCAGAAAAAGGCAACCAGAGCTTATAATCGCTTGGATAAAAACTTTTGTTTTCAATTTTATTAACTGATCAGCTTCCGCTTTCATTTTATTCTCATCCATAGGTGGTTTTCCATATCCAACTGTACAAAATCATGAACTTTTAAACTTTTTAAAGTCTGGTAATCGTTTAGAAAAACCAGAAAATTGTTCAGATACCCTTTACGAGCTTATGTTGCAATGCTGGACAACAGATCCAGACGATCGACCAGATTTTAGTGATATTTGTAAAACATTAGATCCAAACAAAAATAAAATTTATATCGACTTTAGTGAACTAAGTCCAACTTATGTATTTCCACCAACATCGGATGGATTGCATACCAATGAGAAAAACAATAAGAAACTTTGTGAAAAGCTCTCGAAAGCTTAACTTGATGGAATGTTTAGAACTGTTTTTTTAAGGCACCCAAATTCAAATGACAATATTTTGGTGAAAATTTGCTTTGAGGAATTCAAAAGGAAGTAAATTAATCACGGATTTTTTGAACAAAATATAAAGTCAAATAAAATGCAGATCCATTTGAAACAAACTAGTTCTGAAATTTAATATCCTGCATATCTAGAATTCAAAACCAGTTTGTAAATGCAGATAGTTAAAAGCAAATTCTTTTTTACTTTTGTTTTCAAAAACAACATTGCATTTTATTCAGATTAAAATGTAAATATGAATTCTATTGTACAGTAGTTGTAAAGTTTTTTTGTTTACTGATGCTAGAGGGCAGATCATCCTGTAACGAAGACAGCCCTTTAAAAGAAAACAAATAACAAAAATTTGTCATTCTAACATTTTAAAATATTTCAATTATAAATTCTCTCATCGGAAGTAAAAACCTCAGAGTATATATTCATCAAAATATTCCAATATTTACTTGAATTTGGATAAGTATTTATGAATTTGACGATAAAGTCAGAACAAAGAAACATATTCTTTGAATTAAATAAAAACTCAAAATGTGATGTTCATCTGTATGTCCCTGTTGTGGCTCAAGTACAATTTTATTGATTGTTATAGGATTAAGATTCTCGACTTGTACCTTTTTTTGTAAGTGTTTCTAGACTTAGTAAAATGAAAAAGCAAAAATAATAAATTATAATATTAAGATAGCTGTTATACTGAATGTTATTGAAATGCCATTGAGTGAGCCAAGATATGTATGTAGGTGCTTAAAAGATGTGTGAATGTGATTTTTTTTCCCCGTCTCTTGATTAATGCAGAAAAAATGGAAAAAATAAACATTACGAAGCTGTAAGCTTTGTTTGTGAAAGTTTAAAAACGATTGTTGAAGCTTTTTTAACTTCAGGATTTTATGCTTGTTTGCTACTGAGCTATGTAAGCTCTATTGTTACAGTATTTCATTATTACATCACTATGTATCTTGGAATAAATTACGAGTTGTAGCAAAGACAATTAAAGTGTTTGAAGAGTAAAGTTTACACAAAATTTGGTAAAAAAATAGTTTAAAAATAAGAATACAAGTACAAGACCATTCAATTCAGAGCCTTTGAGTCAAAAGAAACAACGAAAAGTTAGTTGATTATATGCACTCACGATATCTTGCTTAGACGACTTGTGACTAGGTTCATTACAATTTAAATCAAAAACCCGTTCCATATGATATTCAAGTCAAGTCACAGTCAAACATTACAAATACCCTAAAGTTGTAATTTTCCAGGGGAACTCAAGATACCGGCACCTGAGGCTTTATGACTTAATTGTAACATTTCAAGTAAGTCGAATTCATCTATAAAATGAAGGTTCGATGCTCTTAAACAGTGTTGTCGAAGCTGTGTACCGTAGAAATTTTTCGCAAATGACACGAGCCGCATGCTATGTACGACTTTCGTCATAGCTTACCTCTAAGCTGTGCTGCGGCTCAAAAATGTTTGGACATCACTGCTCTACAGTGCACTACAAAACAAAAAAGCTAAGTCCATTACACACATTATTGTTGTTATTATTAAGAGTTGTACGAATGTGTTGAAAAGTTTTAATTAATCAACGTCCTATACGCTTCAAGAAAAAAAATAAATAAATAAATACAATAAGTGGAAATTAAAGCTTGTACAATGGTACAAATAAAAATAAGTATGATTTCTGTGAAATTAAATAAAATGGAGTGATGCTGGGTATAAAGAGGGTTAATCACAAAAAAATATATAAATAATGCAAATAAGAAGAAGAATGTGATGTGATGTGATAAATGACGTGCAATTAAAGCAACAAAAAATAAAGTTTGAAAATCATATTATATCATGATAAAAGTATTTTTTATACAATTAGAAAATATTCAGCTAGTTAGAGTTATTTGAAAAAGTTGAGAGATGATTGATATGGAGTTTTTAAAGAATGAACCAATCGGATGTTAAATTATTATTAAACTTATAATCCATAATTAAAAATATTGTAAAAATGAATTTTAATTTTTTTTATATTTTATTTAACTTTATGAATCGAATGAAAAAAAACAAAGCTTAATAATATAATTTTAAATAAATGTTTATAAGTGGAATTAAAAATATTGGCTTTTAAATTGATAAATTCTTTTCAGTGGTTTAATAAGCTCCACAAGGCTTATGGATTAAATGACACGAGCTTTTCCATCAACAAAAAGTAGCCTGTTGGAAGTGCGTCGGGCCAACTTCGAATTTCGAGCTGAAACTTTGCCAGTTTAAAGACACTTTTGCGACTCTTTTCGACACCCCTTAGTTTTCGAGATATCGGAGTTTTAATTTCACGCAAAAAGCCCGACTAACTTCACGTTTCTAGTTGGGCCAAATTCTGAAAAATAATTTTATTAAACATGTTATATATCGAAATTGAAGTTTTTTTTACGACACTTTTCGACACGCAAACCGTTTTTAAATCTGATCATTTCTTGCTGAGGTATGGGCTATTAAAGTTTTGCCTGCTGTTTCCATGGGCCAAAAAAATCAAATTTTACTAAAATTGTCAATTTGTTACAAATCTTTTATAAAAATGCATCTCCTTTTCATGGCTAATCCAAATATTTAAATATTTTTCAATCCAGTTTTTATCTGTCGACTTATAGCATGTCAAGTGACCAGTCATGCATCCGATCTCAAAGGATTTTTTTTCCAAATTTTCTCAAAAAACTTTTATTTTATCTTTTTTTTGAACTTTCTGATATTTGTTTGAATTAAAAATATAAGTTTTAGAGATTGTTGAGAAAGTGAGATCAATTTTGAGATTCAAATTTCAAAAACTCTTTCCAAGATTTTCTCATGAAGCTCCACTTTTGAAAAAATTAATTTTTTGAATTTGTAATTTCCATAATAAAGAAATGCATTGTTTTCAATTTTTTTTTGAATTTTTGTAAAAATCAATTGACAAGAAAATTAAGGCTTTAATTTTAAAAAAAATAACGAATAGTTAATGGAACCAAATTTTTTAATTTTAAATTTTCTATTTGTTTCCGCCAATGAAACAAACTGATTCAAAATAATAGAATTTAACAGTAAAGTAAAATAAGCCCGACGCACTTCCAACAGGCCAAAAAGTAAATACTTTAAAGTCCAACTATCGCAGTCATTATATTTGTGCTGAAAAGCCACAAAACAAGAATGATTTTCTCAGAAATGTTAAATATATTAATCAATGATCCCAGTATTTATAAATAGAGCTTTATCAACCATATCGAATAATGGAAAAGACATTCCAGTACGTTTAGCTATTTGATAAGCTATTTCATTGGAATTATTTCTAATATCGGGATCAATTTTTGGATTCATAAAGAGCGTAACTAGCGTATCTCGGCATGACGATACTGTAAGGAACGATTGTTAATTGTCAATTAAATTTACAGAATATAATCATTCTACATACCTGACGTAGTGATATGCAAAGGTGTTTGATCGCCTTCCGACCGAGCATTTATATCTGCACCGTGCTGAAGTAAAAGAGCTGCCATTCTTGAGTTATTCCACTTACATGCTGAATGCAAAGGTGTCCAATGATATTCAGTTTTCTTGTTCGGATCTGCTTTATATTTGAATAGCAATTGTGCCAACTCGTAATTATTGTTGTAAGCTGCTTTATGGAGTGGAGTATATCCATCACGATCGACGGCATGAACTTGTGATGGATCTTTTGACAATATTTCTTCAACTAAATCATTTTTGTCTTCTTCTGATGCTGCCCATAAGATCTCTCGTTCTAATGTTGCATGCGGATTCTTATCTTCTTCAATTCCAATGTCATTTTCCGAGTCGTCCCTTTAATTTACACAATAATAAAGACCGGATGATAAAAAATGATTTACAACTTACCAGCCACTAATAAACATTCCTGGCTTGATTTTTGATATGTCATCAGGTAAAATTTGAGAATCTTCTTCATCAGATGACTTGCTATTCATGATTTAATGCTTAATTATAGAATTTTAGAGTGAGAAGAGCAAAATATTTATTTCTGTCTGGAATTATCTTTTGAAAATTAAACAACCGTTATGCTACTGGGTGATATTAAGTAGAATTGGGTAATATCAAAAGTAGATTTTTCGAACAAAATTGAGAATTTTCTCTTGTGATTTGCGTTGTTAGAAGCGCATTGTTTTAGATAAGCGTATATTTGCAAGTCATATTTATTGATATCGATAGTTATTTAAAGAATAGATCAAAACTTTAACAGATTTTCAAAATTTTAAATTATGAACATATCTATTAATTTTTTTTAAGATTTGAAAAAGACGTTATATTTTAAAAACACTTTTTCACCACAAAAAATTACATTTCACCACAAGAAACGTGATCAAAACGAATAAAGTTTTACCAGACAATGTGAAAGGAATTTTGAGCGAGATTATAGTGAAATTATGGTTATATATTGTGTGTGGATTCGGAAAAAGTAATTTATTGTGGTATCTAAGTTAAATACATTATAATGTCTGACGAAATTAATGAGAAAATGGAGCAAATAAGGATAAAGAACGAGGAGTTGGAGAAGAAACATCAAGAAATCCTTAAAGATGAGTTGGAAGCAAAAAAACAGGGAGCAACCGTATCAAAAAGTCAAGCAGTTTCTTGCAAAACGAATGAAAAACATCGGTACGATAACGTTGAATTAGATTATGATGTCAAAGATGATCAGAAGGAGCATGCTAAAAATCCCGATTATAAGCCAAAAAGTGAGTCATTCGCAAATTTATATTATTTGCACAACTTTTTATGAACTTCTTATTGTTTCGTACAACACATCTTTAGTCTTCTTTTTATACTGCACACTTGCAATTATTTGTTTTCTTCATTTTTTGAGTGTCTCTTTTCGTTCCGTACATAGATCGAAGACCAATACTTGGAAAGAAGCAATTAGATGAAATTCCACCTGATCCCGTAAACTTTTTGCGAGACGACGGAGAAAATGGTCAAAATAATCAAGCTGATAATCAAGCTAGACGTCCACAACAGCAGCAACAACAGCAGCAAAATAATAGGAATCGAAACAATAATAATAATAACACTAGAAATCCTCGTCCAAGAAATTATGAGGATGGTGATTCAAGCAACAAGGAGAGACCAGATGAGAATCAAGGTCCACGACAACAAAAAAATCACCGTCCTAGACCAAATCCCAGTAATAATAACAATAATTATCCAAATAGAAGTAATGATGGAAATGATCAGAGACAGGCTGTGAATAATGATAGTAATAGCAATTCGCCAAGAAAAACTCATCCACAACAGTTGAGGACTGAGAGACGTTCAGCTCCAGCACATAATTCGAGTATGGAATCATCAAATAGTGAGCAGTCGTCAAATGATCCAAACAAGGGTTCAGCTCAAAGACAACCGCATCAAAATCATCAACAACAACAGCAACATAATCGTCCGAAACGACCACAATATAACGATAATAATAGGCCACGCTCAAAGCCTAATAAAGATGCAATTAATGATATAACGGTTGAAGTCACCGATGAGGTGCGAAGTGTTAAATGTAAGCATTTCAATTGACTTGGTTAACTTACGTTTTGGACGGAAGTAACATTTCTTTAATTACAGTAAAATCAAGCGAGAAAACATTTGGCACTGGAAGAGTACGACCATCAGCTGAAAGTTACGAGAATGCAGAAGCGTCAAACGATCAAGCTCAATCAGATGCTCGTAAGCAGCATAACAAACCGAGAAATAACAGTAATAGGAAGCCAAAATCAAAAGGACCGTCACAACCAGAATTCCAACATCCAATTTTGGATAAGATTGTCATATCAAAAACTAGTGTCCAAGATAGATTGCTGAGAAGTAAAATGATGGATGAAAAGGACCATCAAGAGCCAAAAGTAGAAGCAAATGCTCCAGAACCAGCTAATGATAATTAATAATAATTTACTCAAAAAAGAATCAAGATCCTGTAAAAATGAGTTTGTAATCTTTTGACTTCTTTTAAATTTTGGGAATTTTTTTAAGATCCACTAATTTGGAACCACCTTGACATCCACGAAACTATGAACTTAAATGTTGTAAGGAATGCTTGTAAGGAAGGCACTTAGAAATATTAAGGGGGTCTAAAATAATCTCATTTTTCATTAGATGTCACAAGTTACGGCTCCTTATCTGACTATAATTTTACTCAAAAAGAAAAGAAGTATGACTACCTACATATGAAATTATCAAATCATTTATTTATTACGCATAACGTCACAATTATTATTTTTGGTGCTTGGTTCATTTGTATTTGTTAACAATTTTAACTGATTCCAAAAAAAATGAAATATTTAATGAACATTATTATTTATATTATTATTATATTGAATATTGTAATCACAAAAATTTATAGCATCGTATCTACCTTGAATTTTGTATGTTTCTTTTAAACTCACTAATGAGTCAATGTCATTCGTTTCAAACTGAAGTGCATTCAAGAATGCTTTTTCCGCCAATTCTAGCAAATTTAATCCCACAAAGCAGTTTCCCAATTCTAGGAACACGAGATGGCAATGAAACAGTTTAACAGCTTGAATTAAAAATTCTTTGGCAATAACAAACTCATTAGTACGATTAAAATGCGATCCAAGAAGATATAATATGAGAAAGTTGTCACATGATTGAGTTTGAATGTAGGTGTTGAACAGTTCTGCAGCTTTTTTAAAATTCCTTGTATGTAATAAGTTCAATATGATTGACTTTACAATTTTGCAATACTGTAAAAGAGATGGAACGAGAAATAATGATTAAAATAAAGATAATTAGTACGCAAGAATCAATTAGTAGCTGACATGATTCATAATTAATTAAAACTAATGTTTCAATTATTCTTTGTTATTAATCATGTAGTCCACAAATTGCTGAGAGGTCGGTAAAGTTGAAAATCTTTGTGCTGCACTTTGGAATACAACCAATATCTAATTGTGACTAGGATAGACTACCTAGTTTCTCTAGAAACCGGCCACAGTCCTTTCATGTGATACCTCAAAACTATTTGGGGTTCGTTGATCTTCAGATCCAAAACAAACCGTGTAACAAGCACAGATCAAGTCAAAATAGCTTCCTTTTAATTACTTGATATGAATTTAATCATCAAAGGTTTTAACTTACATTCACATTATGATTTACAACATCATTCTCGGAAATCCTATTTAAATGATATAAAGCTTCTTTAAAATTTCCCTTTGATGTATCAATGGCTGCCAAAAGATACAAGTAATTAACATTGATTCCATACTTCTGATAGTATTCTCCTAGACAAAGTTCAGCAATTTCATAACATCCAATTTTGATGAAGAAAATTGCTGATTTGATGAATAAATTTTGCCAACTAATGAAGCAGTCATCTGTTGATGCAAACCACAAAAGCTCTGTACGATTGTAGATGCTTTCTATTTCCTCATGTTTTATAGAATTATTATTGACTGGATCATTTTCTAAACCGAGCATAGCATTAATCACATATTGCATGATGCATAACTCTTCAATTTCACCGTATATTGCTTTTAGATGGCTCAAAAGATTCAGACTGGCTGGATATTTTTGCGATTTGAAAAGTAAATAAGCCTTAAGAATATTTGAAATCAATGATTGTGGATTTATATTGAGCTGTTCATCTACAGCTATTGACACCTTGTCAAACTCTTCCTGTTTTGCATTGAAAATTGCGTAGTCCAGCCAGGCTGTATCGTTTTTGTGTATATCATGCAGGAAAATATCTTCAGACTTGTCAATCATATCCAGTGATTTATAAACATCAGTCAAAATGAATTTATGCTGCTCGCTGCATTGATTCTTCGAATTATTAATTTCTGATGTTATGTTACATGAAAAAGTTTCATCATTAAAGCAAGTTTGATCTAATAGAACTGTTATTTTGGATGTAATTGAAAATTCAGTTTCCAAGGAGAATCCGCTGCATAAAAGCTCATTTTTCATATCACTAATTAAGATATTTTTACTCGAAAGTTTGTCATAACCCTTTGTATATGAATGCATACATACTTCATATGGTATTTCTGTATTCAAAGGCTTTTCTAATTCCATTCGAACAACAGCGGTGATTTGATTACCTTCATTATTCAATGCTTTTATATCCTCTAGCAATTTATCTGATTCATGATGAATATCATCCTTTTTCCTAGAAATTCTTTTGTTTTTTGCCAGCGACTGCGATTTTGGTGTGTAGAATATACTGTTGCGTTGGAAGCACCCTATAAATACATCATTATCAAATCGGTATAAAGGAACAACATTACGGATTGTCGTTCGTCCAACATAAAGTAGTTCTTCACAATTAATAGACCCAAATAAATGCTCGTTGCTGTTTATTAATAATTCTATTGAAACATTCTTGAATGCCCGAATGTCATCATGCAATGACAAAGAAGCCTCACTGGTTAAAATAACCGATTTAAAAACTGCATTCAAATTAACTCCTTTTTGTAGTTCGCATGAACTCAATTTAAATAAAGCTGTTTTTGAAGCCTGCAACAATGTTTTTGATCCCTTATGAATAGAGTATTTTAGATTTAACCTTAAATCAGTTACCTTAAATGGAGCATTAATTGCAATTAAAATTTCTCTATTCATATCATTTTCAAAATAATGCCCACAAATTGATTCCAATACAAAATAGAGACAATTTTCATAGTTGGTTTTGAGTAATGGAACATCAGTGAAAGCCTTTACATCAAATGATATTTTCCGCGTTATTTTCTCCGAATTAATTTGTTTGTGGCTTTTAAAGCTCTCACATTTAATAGAACATAAGCTTGATAAATCAATATTGCAGTATCCAATAGCCTCATTCATTCCATCTTCATGCTTAGTAAGAGTAAGCAATAAAGTATTCAAAAATAGATTGGATATCTCATCATCATCTGCTGTATCAATTGGAATTTTAATGATGATTTCTGGTTTGTGTGATTTATGATTTATTCTGATGCGATCATTGCTCAAAATACTGTTTACGTAGGAAGCAATAACTTCGTACTCTGTATCTTCATTGGCATCGTATTGAAGACCTTGGAAATTTGTCAATACTACGTTAATTTCCGCTGAATTTGAGTCATTTGAAATATTTTGTGACATTTTTGCTAAAAGATTAAATTGAACTGAAAATGTAAAAGCTTATTGTTATTATTGAGAATTTAATAATTAATTTTAAAACCAAAGCTTTTATTTCATACTTTTTAAGGAAAATGCTTTTTAAGGATATGAATCATAATATTAGTTCTGGATACATTAAATGACAAATTCACAAAATTGCTGTCTAGAATGTGTCTTCATCACGAATGAATTCATCTCGAATCTTTGAAAGTTTGCTAATCAGCACATCAATTGTTACTTCACCATGAACCTTATTATCTCTTGTACGAACATTGACTGTTCCTGATTGTTTTTCCTTCTCGCCAACAACCAAAATGAAATTACATTGCGCCAATTGAGCATTTCGGATTTTCTTGTTCATTGTGTCACCATCATCAGTATCTGATTCAGCCATAAATCCAGCAGCATATAAACGATCACGAACTTCATTAGCATAGCCATCTAAACTTGGACCAACAGGAACAACCATAATTTGTCTTGGTGACAACCAGAAAGGCCATTTTCCAGCACAATTTTCAGTCAAAATAGCAATCATTCTCTCAACAGATCCAAGAATAGCACGATGGATAATTACTGGTCGTTTCTTCTCACCAGATTCAGATACGAAATTAAGATTGAATCTTATTGGTAATTGGAAATCAAGTTGAATTGTAGCGCACTGGTGTGATCGTTTTAATGCATCCTTAATTGTGATGTCAATCTTGGGTCCATAGAAAGCTCCATCGCCTGGATTAAGTGACCATTTAACGCCAAATTCATCAAGTGAATCGGATAATGCCTTCTCTGCTTCATTCCATACTTCAATTTCTCCCAAGAACTTTTCAGGACGTGTAGATAGAACCAAGTCAAATGAGAATCCAAAAACTCCATAGACACACTGCAAAAAGTCTAAACATCCTGTTATTTCCTGCTTAATTTGTTCGGGTGCACAAAAGATGTGAGCATCATCTTGTTGGAAGCGACGTACGCGTGTCAATCCAGTCAAAGCTCCAGACAATTCATTTCTATGCAATACACCAAAGTCAGCCATTCTTAATGGCAATTCACGCCATGATCGATTACGATGATCAAACATTAAGCAATGTCCAGGACAATTCATGGGTTTTAATGCAAACTTTTCCTTCTCAACATCAAACGAGAACATATTGTCAGCATAATGTTGCCAATGACCTGATGTTTGCCATAGTTTTGCATTATACATGTTCGGTGTAATGACTTCTTGGAAGCCTCGCTTACGATATTCACTTCTGATGAAATTCATCAAAGTATTGTATAGGTGAGCACCTCTCGGTAAGAAAAAGCATGAGCCTGGCGACAATTCATGGAAGAAATAAAGTTCTTGTTGTTGACCAACTTTACGATGATCACGTTTTGCTGCTTCTTCTTGAAGCTTCTCCCATTCCTTTAATTGTTTTGGATCTGGGAATGAAATTCCATAAACTCTTTGAAGAGTCTCAGCATCAGCTTTTCCTTCCCAGTATGTGGAACTGTTCTTTGTGACTTTCATTGCCTTTATCTTGCCTGTATGACGAACATGAGGACCACGACATAAATCAATTAATGGTCCACAACGATAAACAGTTGTTGTGTCTGTTGTAACTTTCTCATTCAAAATTCTCTGCTTGAATTCATTGTATTCGAACATCTTTAACAAATCAGCTTTCTTCATTTCAAGACGTTCGAATGGTTGCTTTTCCTTAACAATCTTCTTAACGACATCCTCGAGAGTTTTGTAATGATTTGGTGAGATTCCGTCACCTTCCAAAAACATGTCATAGTAGAACCCACTTTCAATTGGTGGTCCGTAACACAAACAACCACCATAACATCTCTCCATTGCTTCTCCGAGAATATGTGCTGAACTGTGCCAGAAAACAGCTTGAGCTTCTGGATCATCGAACTTTAAGAGCTTCAATGAGCAGTTCTTTTCTAATACTCTATCTAAATCCCAAACTTCATCGTCAACTTTCGCAACAACTGTATTATCAGCAAGTCCTTGACTTATACCAGCTGCAATTTTATATGGTGTTGTTTCCCAAGACAGTCCTTCAACAATCTTACCGTCGGGCAATGTAATTTCAATTTTCTCTTTAGGCTTGGCTTTAATCTCTTCCAAATATTCATCTCTTAATTTGTCATACAACTTGATACGATCCTCAATGTAATTTGGTGGTGGATTAAGTTCCTTAATTCCTAAAAAAATGAGACAAATTATTTTGATGAGTTGGCGATCATTAAATAAGTAAACTACGCAATAAAAACAGTCAGTTATGCTGTATAGATCTAACCTGTCTCAACTCCCATGACTTCAAGTTGCTTTTTCTTTGCTGCTTTCTGCTTAGATGCCTGGAAATCAAATAAAAGTGATCTATTAGTGATTTTGCGTGTGACTCATAAACGGAACTACACATTAAATGATGCAATGACTTAGAATGTTTACAACAAAAGTTATGAAATCAACGTGGAAAATGAAAAGTAGGTCAAATTCTATAAATCAACTAAAATTAAACATTAAGCCACAAACATTGTTAAAACTGAACTAAAATATTAGATTAACACTATTGTCACTTAATTATTTAGAGTAATAAACGAACCAAAGTAGCAAAACATTTCTCCCAATTTCCACTTTTCAGTTGATTTACTAATATGCTTCTATTAAAATTGATTAATCTGTACAAAGACGTTAATGACATTCTTATAATTAACTGGTTTTCATGCCTTTTCAGTATCTAGCTCCAATTTTTCTAGATTTTCCGACAATTTACTGCTCATTGTTTTCTTATTCGCGAGAAAAGTTCTACTTAATGTCTACCGGCTGTTCTAAAAGTAGATCATAAAATAACGACTTTTTTAAATATAAAATTACCGAGAAGAACAAATCTTTTTCAAAAATTAACTGCCATTTGAATTCAAACTTATGAAGACTGTTAACTTCTAAATTCACCACAAATTAATTTTAATTCCTTAATGTTGCCTTCTAAGACTAAAAGCTTTGCAAATTAATACAAACCTTTTGAGGCTCATCATTTTCCATTTTGACATTCTCTGGAGCTTTATTTACTTCGACTAATGTTGCAGGCTTAATTTCCTCTTGTGGCTGGATTTTTATAATCTCCTTCAAAACAACCTTATCAACTTGCTTCGCTTCTTCTTTTTCTTGGATCTGGATCACTTTTTCCTCCACTTTTACTTCAACAATTTTCTCTTCTTGTTGAGCAGGTCCAGCAGCATTTTTATTTTGTTTTTCTTTATTAATTTCGTCATCTTTTTCAACTTCCTCAACTGTGGTAGAGTCATTAGTCGGTTTAGGACCTTGAGATTTCTTTTTGTGTGAACGTTTCTTCTTGTTATTTCCCATTCTTACTCCAAAAATGACTTTACAATGTCAGAACAAGTTAAATTATGCGACCGAAATCACTAGTTCCTCATTTTAAATAAAATTTGTTTCAACATGCCTCGGCTGGAATGAAAAACTTCCAACAAGATTTCCCGAATTTCCCGACGTGAAAAATAAAAGAAAATTCATTTGTAGAGATTTTTTAAAAAAATATTTTATAGAAACTGTAAAAACTTAAAACATTTAATCTTTTTTGCGATCTTTAAGACTCTTGAAGTAACTTCCAATAATTTTCTGAGTTTCAGGACGCAAAATGTGATTGAGAAATTGTTTGGCATCAGACGAACGATTTTTAATCAACTGATTCAAGTCATTTTTACGATAAACTTGCTTCGTTAAGGCACGCGCTAATTTTGGAACATTATCAAATGTAGCGAAGAACTCTTCACTTCTTGCCATTGCCTCTTCTTCATTGTTTACGATTTGATCGATAAGTCCAATGTCAAATGCTTCCTGAGTATCCAATAATCTTCCTGAAGTTAATAAGCGTTCAGCATTTTTTCCCGGCAAAACAGCTCTTAATGAATTCATGACCCATTCTGTAGCGACTATGCCAACAGGTGCTTCATTTAATCCAATTTTATAGTAAGGCAACATAAGACGATATTCACATGATATTGCAAATACACAACCTCCAGCTGGCGCATGACCTTCATTTAGGAATCAAAACAGAATAAAAAAAAGCATGAAAAAATTGAATTATTAAAAAAAATTGAAAGACTTGACATACCATTGACAAAAGCAACAGTTGGGAATGATGATGCATACAATTTGAGCCAACTCTCTTGGAACCACAACCAGAATGCTTCAAAGCGTTCCTCACTCGGATTTGGATATAATTCTGTGATATCTAAGCCGCTTGAGAATACATTATCACATGACTGTAATTTAATATTCCATTATTAATAGACGCTGTCAATTAATTTGATTGATGTACTTACACTTTTCAACACCATTCCACGGACTTTTTCACGTTCCAGATCGTCCATAACACCACAGAAGTCTTTAAACAATTCCAAGGACAAACTGTTAACTGGCTTACGATTAAGAGAAACAACAGAGACTCCAGTTTCCTCATTGATATCAACCTGAATTAAATTCTGTGCTGCACTTGATGATTGATACCTGATGTTATTTGCCAACAACCATCTCGATGGAATCGAGCAATTTTTAATTAAACGAGAAAAATTCATGATTTACAAGCGATACGGCACAACAAAATGAACACACTAAAGCGACTTGCTGTATATATGCGTATGAATATAAAATATTATTCTTTTTGGTCTTCGTGAGACGTAAAATTTTCGATGAGAACCGAAAGAAAATAATACTAATGTTATGTTATGGAACCGACGGTAGATTTAAGTCTGTTCTAATATTTTTATCTTTAAAAAATTATTGCCTTTATTTTCCTTCAATACATACAAAAGAAAGTTTATTAATATTATCTATGGCACAGTCAGGTAGTCCACTCTCTTTAATGACTTAGTGTCATTTACATTTATTTTTGAAAGAGAGAAACTGTTTGTTATTCTTAATTATCTCCACAAACCAACAAACAAACAAACAGACAATCTTTTGTGACTCCTTGTTAATCTTTAATATGTTTTATTTAATTATTTAATAATGAACCAATTATTTATATCCATTTGGACATTAAATAAAATATTCAAATGAACATGAAATATGAAATGAGCATGTAAAGCTTTTAATGTTAAAATTTCAACAAAAGAAAAATGAATATATGTGAATGTATGGGGTTGATTGGATATTAAATAATGATTTTTGCGGGTCGGGGGGTTCATAAATTTTAATAGGGGAAACATTTTAAATTGAATCCTTTCCACTGCTGATTCAACATAAATATAACAGTCCTATGCGTTACATAATATCCGAAAGCCCCTACATACATTATTATCTCTTCTTTCCTACGTTGTTGTTGTCTTCTTCTTCTTTTGTGGCTTTACAAGTCTTGTTACATATGACACGAATTGTATTAAAGGCTTTAATCTCTTCTTCCATTTTAAAAATGCAATATAGCGTCCTAGTGAAGTCTGAATTTTATCATTTTTAATTGTAGTTATGAACAGCTCAACATCAGCTCCTCTGCTGCTCTCAAGTTCCTTAATGTCTTGTTGTCTGTATAATTGTTTAGTAGCCCCACGTGCCATTTGTGGAATTTTCTCATATCTTTTAAGAAATGCTTCACACTTGGCAATCGCTTCTGCCTTATCTTTTGCAATTTCATCCACTAAACCAAGTTTTAAGGCTTCCTCTGTACTGAACAGTGTTCCTAATGTCAATGCCATTTCTGCTTTTCTTATGGGAATCGTGTTCTTCATTGAAGCCATAAACCATGCTGGTGCTACGATTCCAAGTTTTGTCTCATTTAAGCCTATCGTATATTTTGGTAGCATTACACGGTACTCGCAACACATAGCAAACAGACATCCTCCAGCGGGGCTGTGACCTAGGCATTTAAAAGTCATTAAATTTTTAACTCTAAATGTTGAGAATGGCGAGTTGACAGTGAAGTGGGGGGGGGGGTTGGAGAGATTTGGTGAAACAAACTTAAAAAACTAAGATTTGATTTAAAAAAATCTTACCGTTAATAGCTGCAGCAGTAGGGAAAGATGATCCATACAATTTCAACCAACAGTCCTGCAGAGAACTCCAGAATTTTCTAGCTCGAGCGTAGTCAGGTTTATACATTTCGTTGATATCCAAACCAGCTGTAAACACTGTTGGCGATGACTGAAAAAAAAATTTATGGGTATAAGTATTAAGTCACAACTTGAACGTTTGACCTACTTACACTAGTGAGTATCATTCCTTTAGACTTATTGTTTTTGACTTCATCCAATGCATTTGAAAATGCTGTCAGCAGCTCTAAGTTAAGGCTATTGACCGGAGGACTATTTAATGTGACAAGAGCATATCCAGTCTTATCATTTACGTCAATTAAAACTAATCCGCCAGACTTTGTAGATTGGTATTTTACTTTATTGACATTAGATCTAGCGTAATTAAATAAGTTTCTGCTCATTGGCCATGAATTAAATGCCAGCTTTATTGCACTCATTTTCAGTTTAATTTTCAGTTCCAAAAAAATTTAAAATACCGTCATTAACTACCAAAATCTCATTAAAGATAAAATATTTTAAATTTTTTGAAAATATGTTAAGTCTCTTTGGAACTTTGTACCTTTATCAATAGATTGTTTTTCTCGAAAGTCGAAAATAATTTTCGAAGACGGGTTTGTTTAAAAATTAATTTATTTGACAGATTAACGGTTTTTAAGGCACAGAAAAAGGGAATTAAAAGTTTGTACATTAAAATCTTTTTTTAAGTCACTTCCCAAGAAAAGCTGCAAATGATGATTGTGCTTCTGGATTTAAAACAGCTCTGACAAACTCATCCGTGTCACGTTGACGATTAGCAGCAATTTCTTCCATGTCCTTTTGTCTTACTGATCGTTTTGTATATCCTCGTGATACTGGTGGAATGTCCTTAAAACGATCTAAAAATGCTTCACATTTAGCAAAAGCATCTGATCTGTCAGTTGCAATATCATCAATAAGACCAACTTTAAGTGCATCATCAGATGTAAATAGTGTGCCTGTTGTCAAAGCTAGTTCAGTTTGTCTTGTCGAAATGACACTACGCATTGTATAAATCATTGGAAGTGGAATGGAAATTCCAAGTCGAGCACCACTTATCCCTAGTTTTGAGTTACGGACCATAGCTCTATATTCACAACACAATGCGAAAAAACAGCCAGCAGCTGGATTGTGACCGTTAATGGAAGCAGCAGTTGGATATGTTGATCCATAAAGTTTAAACCAACAGTCTTGAAGAACTGACCAAAATTCTCTCAATCTGCGCTCATCTGCTTGGTAAAGCTCACGAATATCAAAGCCAGTTGAGAATATATTTGGAATTATCTACAAAAAGAAATAGATAACACATCAAGACACTGTCAAATAAGAAGACAAGAAATGAAAAAAGAATATCTAAAAATATTTACACTGGTCAAAATCATTCCTCTTGAATTGTTTCTTTCAACTTGATCTAGAGCTCTAGATAAGGCCATCATAAGTTCAAGATTGAAAGAATTCACTGGTGGTCTATTAAGAGTAACTGTTGCGTATCCATTCTTATCATTTACATCAACAAGTACCAATTGATTGTAGTCAATATTTGTTGTGACTGTTTGATTTTTAAGGATCGCATTTGTAGCAATTCTTCTTATTAAATTCATATTATTTGGTGCTCTTGTGAACTGACGAAGCAACATGGTTTACAAATTAATGAACACAACTAATTGATTAACTTCCAGATATGCTGATAAATGACTTAATTAAATTATTGTTTTAATATTATTATTATTTTCGGATAGACCAAAACTCGTTTTGACTCTCTGTCGTATTGACTGATAGTATACACACGCGTCGATAAACTGTTGATAACCATTCTGTTCAAATAAATAAAGCTACACACATCAATAAGGTAAACACAAGCGTAAGAAATACAAAGTAAATTTTATTATTAAGAAAACGAGTCGACAAGGAATAAAATATTAGACTAGATTCATCTATTTCTTATTTTTCAAAGCTTGATAATACATTTTGATTGTATTTTGTGCCTCAACACTTTCTACAGCTTTCACAAAATCATCAATGTCTTTTTGTTTATTGTTTCTAATGTAATCAATTTCTTCTCTTCGGATGGTTCGCTTTGTGGTATTGACTGCATCCATTGGTATTTTTCGGAACTTGTTAAGAAATGCTTCACATTTTATAATTGCTTCTGCTTTATCAACTACTACATCATCAACTAGATTTATTTTTGATGCTTGTTCGGGTGAATAAAGAGTTCCTTGGGTAAGGGAAATTTCAGCATGACGTCTTGGCAATAATTTACCCATTATCATGACTAGAACTTTTGGTAGTGCTATTCCGACCTGAATTTCATTTAATCCAATTTGATAACCTTTAACCATAGCCCTGTAGTCACATATCATTGAAAAGAAACATCCTCCACCTATCGCGTGACCTAAAAGTTAAGAAATCTTTTGATATTATAAGAAGTCATCGGTAATCAGTGCTTAATCTGCTTTTCATCTTTACTACGTTAAGAAAGTTAATTCCAGGCTCAATAAAATACTAACCATTGATAGCAGCAGCTGAGGGAAATGATGCATCGTAAATTTTAAGAAATGCTTCTTGTGACGCATCCCACAATTCGCTCCATGACTTAGAATCGCCACTGTATAAGTCATTGATATCCAATCCAGCTGAAAATATTTTTGGTGATGTCTGAAAATTTCGGCAAAATAATAATAAATGATCATAACTGAATAGACATCCTGATTTTTGATCACTCACACTTGTAAGGATGACTCCTCTCGATTTGTTCTTTTCCATTTCATCGTATGCATCTGATAAAGCATTAAATAGCTCAACATTGAGACTATTCACTGGTAATCGGTTCATAGACAATGTTCCATAGCCAGTTTTGTCATTTACATCAATAAGTACTAACTTTTCTGCTTTTTGAACAGGTGTCGGTGTTGTGCACAGTCGTCTGACATTAGAATTAATTGTTTTGGAGAGGAACAGAATATTTCTTGACATTTTGCTTCAATTTTAAAATACTTAATTCCTTAGAAATTAAACTTTGATTCTGTTTTATTTGTGAATGTAAAGTCTGTGTTGATAAATATATTCAGAAGTATGCGTGACTTTAAAATAAAAGCCAATTTCTTGCTGCTATGTTATGTTCTTTGGACAGCATTTTCTACTTTTTGGTATTGGTCCACAAAACTTTTGGTTTGGGTATAAAAACAGGCATGTAAAAAACTGTGGTAAACCAATCAAACATCATTGGAATTCTTCCTTATTAAGAAACTGAAACTCAAAAGAAAACCAAAAATCACCAATCTTCAGTCAATTCTCCTAAATCCTTAAAGCTCTTAATCTCAAATATTTGGACGATTTTATTCATTTTTATAAAAGATTGTAAAAGACGCAAAACTGTACAAAATTAACAATATTTAAGGAAACTTAAATTGCTCGGATTTACTTCTTCTTTGAGCCATCTAAAAATGCTTTCAAATTCTGCTGACTTATTGGATCAAGAACATAATTAACGAAATTCTCAACATCTCTTTCCTTATTTTCAGTCATCAGATCCACAATTTTCTTCCTGAATAGCTGTTTAGTAATTCCACGTGCTAATGCTGGAACTCCTTTAAATTTGAGCATAAATGATTCACATTTAGCCATAGCATCTGCTTTATCCTTAGCAATTTCATCAACTAATCCAATATCAAGTGCCTTGTCTGTTTCAAAAATTGTTCCCAATGTCAAGGCCATTTCAGAATCGCGGGATGAAATAATATTTTTAGTAGCCAAAATTGCCACTTCTGGGCATGCAATTCCTAGTTGGGTCTCATTTAATCCTATTTTAAAGTTTGGCAACATTACACGATATTCGCAGGCCATTGCAAGGAAACAGCCACCACCAATAGCATGTCCATTGATGAGAGCTGCTGTTGGAAACAGTGAATTATACAGTTTAAGGGAACAATCGAGATATACAGCACGGAGTTCTTTCAATCTTATTGGATCTGGATTTATAAGCTCTTTAATGTCAAGTCCAGCAGTGAACGCATTCGATGATGTCTGAAATGTAGAAAAGTAAAAGGTTTAAATCACTAATCTTTCACAAGTCTAAGATCATTAATAATTACGCTTGTCAAAATCATTCCTTTATACTTTTGATTCTCAACTTCATCTAGTGCCTTTGAAAAGTCTTGTAAAAGTTCAAGAGTAAAGCTGTTGAGTGCCGAGGGTCGATTGAACGACAGCGTTGCAAATCCAGTTTTTTTGTTCACTTCAGTGATTACAAGCTGTTCTTTTTTCGATACAGTTGATTGATTCCTCTGCGTGCTTACCGCAATCCATCTGAATGCATTTTGACTTACTATCCTTGATACTTTCATACAATTTAAAGCCATTTTTACTAGTGATTATAACGATTAAAATTATCAGCACTGCTGATCGGAAACTGAACTTTGTACTTTATGTTAATTTTACTAGTTTTAGATTTGATTGATTCTAGAATTATGAATGAAGTTTTAACTTTTTTTCACTTTGAATTAGGCACTTAAAGATAAAATATGCAGCATATAAAAATTCACTGAAGTTGTTATTCACTAAAGCACCGCTAATTGCTATTTACATGAATATTATGTTTGAAAGATGATAACAAGTGAATTTTCCAAAGTATTGTAGACATTTTCAAAATGTGATCAGGCTGTTGCCGTTAGAGATATATTAGAGTTAGATCTTGTTGTATTTGAAATTGAAATTTTATGTTCAGCTTGAGATAATTACAAATTGACTTATTGACTGAAGGATATAAATTTTTTGAAGTAATAGATTTTCGTTAAGTTATTTAAGCCCACTCTGCTATAGAGATTTACAGATCCACTTACCTATAGCTAATACAGATATCCCAGATTCTATTATGTTCCGATCTAATACTTTCGTCTCAAAAATTCTATCGACTTCCGAACTAGATCGATCTAGATCTTATCTTGATAATTACTCAAATTTTTCAAATATACCTAATGAATTTTAAGATACTAAATCACGAATAACTTCTGGGTCTTACTGAAAAGCATTTACCAATCATATTAAGGGTGTAGTCATGGGGAAATAACCCAAAACGATTTGTTTATCCTCCTGCATATGACATCTGATCAATTATCTTATCAATTACACAAATAGCAACACCTGGGAAATTCTAATCATTAGAAGAGAAGAATTAGCTTAAAAGCTTTATTGCAACGTCATGGGAATTCACTTTCTTCTTATCATATTTGCTCTCAATCGTCTCAAAAGCTTAATAACCTAACAACCCAAATTTTGACGTATTTTTTAAAATTAATATTTTTATTCAAGACACTTTTAAGCTATTTTAAGCTGTACACATAATGATGGAAAAAACCAAATTGATAAAAAATTGTATAAAATCCTTAATAAAATTAACAACTTAGATAAAAATTAATAATACTGACTCACTTCGTTCAAATTAGCGACTTAAGAATGATTTAAATACTCTCTGATTTTTAGGATCTAGAATAGATTTCACAAATACATCAACATCCTTTTGTTTTTCAGCGAGAATCATATCTGCAATATTCATTCTAAAGTATTGCTTAGTCAGTCCTCGTGCTAATGGTGGGACTTTCCTGAACTTTAAGAGAAAAGCTTCACATTTTGCTATAGCATCAGCCTTGTCTGTTGCAATTTCATCGACAAGTCCAACTTTAAGTGCTTCTTCTGAAGGGTAGACATAGCCGAAAGTTACAGCCTTTTCAACTTCACGGGCAGAAATGATATTTTTCATTGTAAGGATCGCAGTTTTTGGGATAGCTACATAAATTATTTAATTTATTTTTAGATAAAAGTTGTTAAATAATTCAAATTGAACTCATACCAATTCCTAGTTGGGTCTCATTCATTCCAATTTTACAGTTCGGGAGAATTACACGATATTCACAAGCTTTAGCAAAATAGGAACCACCGCCAATAGCATGACCTGTTGGAAATAATAAGAAGTTATTTAATAAGTCATGTAATTTATGTCGATTAATTAAATTTACCATTTATAGCAGCAGCTGTGGGAAATAGCGAATAGAATAATTTGTGACAACAGTCAAGGTATGTTGCATGTAAGTTCCAGAGTCTTTCAGGATCAGGATCGACTAATTCTTTGATATCATAGCCTGTTGTGAAGACATTTTCTGATGTCTGAAAATTTTATAACTTTAGGACATAACATTAATGAAATTAGAATCAATGTTTCCTTACAGTGGTTAGGATCATTCCTCTAGAATTTTTGCTGTCAACTTCATCGAGTGTGCTTGCAAATTCCTGCAACATTTCCAGCGTGAAACTATTATGTGCCTTAGGTCTGTTAAATGAAACAGTCACGAATCCAGTTTTGCTATTTACTTCTGTGGTTATAAGCTTATCATTTGTTGCCGTTGATTGACTTCTTTGCGTGCTTAATGCAATGCATCTGAATGCATTTTGATTGATCATCCTTGATACTTTCATACAATGTAAAGCCATTTTTGGTCTGTTGGCTACAAATTGAAATATAAGGAAAGCTATTTTTAGGGAATTGGGAAATTTTCAATTTTATTTTTACTACGCTTGACTTTTATTTTGAAACATAGATAAAGGAAGCCGATGAATTAAATCAATGATAAAAGAATTAGATGAGATTATCGTGTTTATTTTTGAAAAATAAGGTTTTACAGATAGTTTTTTGTTTTTTATCAAACCGCTTTTTTCAAAGTAATAAAATCTTTAAATCCTTTAAGTCTTAGTTTGGAAATAGAAAAAAGTCTAGTCAGTTTGATCTATTTGTTTTTTCAAAATAAATATTCATATCAATTTTAACTTTTAAACCAAAAATCTAAATCAAAAAAACTTATCAATTAGCTTTGATCATATTTGATCAGTTCCGCAACCTTGATTGAACAAAATATCAGTTTTTAACTCTTAATAATCAAGAATGAAATTAAAGAAAAACAGTTTAAATTAAGGAAGACTGTCTTTATGTTTCTAAGCTTTAATTCAAACTTCAACTTAATTATTTTAACTTGTACTGAGCTTAGCTACATAAATCAGTCCTTAACTATACAAATCCTAAGTTCTTGTCTGTGTCAGACATTTTTATCTAGATTCTAGTCTATAACATCACAATAATTGTCTAATTCTAAAGATTTTCTCAAATAACAACCGAAGACAACCTATTCTCATCAAGAATATCGCTTCTAAATGTTTCAAGCAATAAACTTTCAAACTTAGTAAATCTTTCTTCACTTCCGAATTTGATACATACTTTTTAATAAATTGACTGTTTTAACTGAATCAAATTTAGAAATCTACTGTTAATATTTCTAAAAGCAAACGTCAATTTATATCAATTTTATACTCGAAGGCATGCAATGATGTTACAAACGAAAAATGATATCACACATGGCAAGATAAAAAATTTGAAATTAATTTTGTAGAATTCTATTAAAAAAATTACAATTTTATTTTAACCGTTAAAATTATTTCCAGGCTTGAATGTCATATGACAGTAAGCTTATGTGGTAGCACATGTGCATCATAAATTCATAAAAAGATAAAAATTGTTATCAAAATGAATAATGATATTATAATTAAATGATCTCATGTTTACTGAGTGCTGAAAGGTTTATATTTATGCTGGAGATGAAGGTGGGTTTTATATTTACATCAAGGGTATCATTAATATTGGTTTAATATGTATTATTACAGGTTTAATTACTAAATACTCATTTTGATATTAAAAGACAATTTTCTTAATTTATGGCAACAACTTAACTTGCGTAGTCTGATATCTGAGAATTTGAATTTTATGCAGGAATATCTCTTCTTACTTCTGACATATCACTGAAATATATTCATCTTAAAATGCTCAAGGATTTATGCAAAATCATGTAGATTATAGAGTTATGAAGAATTGAATTTATTGAAAACTAGAACTGAAAATGTAGATTTTGAGTTAAAGTTGCTTGACATATAGATGACATAGTTGCATGCCAGTGAGCTTCTTTAGAAAACGAAATTGTTTGTTAAATCAAATCTAGCTTCCTTATTTGATGAAATTCTTTGAATTTTCTTTTGCAGGATTTAGCAGAGTGTTCTGTTTTATAACTCGTCCATTACCTATCCATTTATAAACATAACTTATCAGTAAAGTAAGGATTTAACTTCTTCCATAGATTCGTATTATATTCACACCGTTTTCACGTGTGAATCTATTCGTTTTGTTCAGATTGAAAAATCAGTTTTTTGAATTTTGTGAGGATATGGAGCAAGATAGCTTAAAATGTTCAGAGATGAAAAGTTTGTGCCTAGAATTTCACATCTTTTGCAAAAAACAGATTTCAAATTGGTTGCGACATTGCTGAGAAAATCTAGGGTCGACCCTAGTCCAAAATTGAAAATGTATTTCCTACTTGGTTCTTTGCTCAAAAAAATTTTAGGGTGTTTTATTTGTATTTGTTTTGAGCACTTGAATATTTATGCAAAGTTTCAATCCATTTGGATAAGCCCTCGAAGAAAAAAGTGACAACATTGATTTTGACTAGGGTCGCCCCTAGTCCAAAATTGAAAATGTATTTCCTACTTGGTTCTTTGCTCAAAAAAATTTTAGGATGTTTTATTTGTATTTGTTTTGAGCACTTGAATATTTATGGAAAGTTTCAATCCATTTGGATAAGCCCTCGAAGAAAAAAGTGACAACATTGATTTTGACTAGGGTCGCCCCTAGTCCAAAATTGAAAATGTATTTCCTACTTGGTTCTTTGCTCAAAAAAATTTTAGGATGTTTTATTTGTATTTGTTTTAAGCACTAGAATATTTATGGAAAGTTTCAATCCATTTGGATAAACCCTCGAAGAAAAAAGTGACAAAATTGATTTTGACGAGGGTCGCCCCTAGTCCACAATTGAAAATGTATTTCCTGCTTGGTTCTTTGCTCAAAAAAATTTTAAGATGTTTTATTTGTATTTGTTTTAAGCACTTGAATATATATGCAAAGTTTCAATCCATTTGGATAAACCCTCGAAGAAAAAAGTGACAAAATTGATTTTGACTAGAGTCACCCCTAGTCCAAAATTGAAAATGTATTTCCTACTTGGTTCTTTGCTCAAAAAAATTTTAGGATGTTTTATTTGTATTTGTTTTAAGCACTAAAATATTTATGCAAAGTTTCAATCCATTTGGATAAACCTTCGAAGAAAAAAGTCTAGGGACTAGGGTCGCCCCTAGTCCAAAATTGAAAATGTATTTCCTACTTGGTTCTTTGCTCAAAAAAATTTTAGAATGTTTTATTTGTATTTGTTTTAAGCACTAGAATATTTATGCAAAGTTTCAATCCATTTGGATAAACCCTCGAAGATAAAAGTGACAAAATTGATTTTGACTAGGGTCGCCCCTAGTCCAAAATTGAAAATTTATTTCCTACTTGGTTCTTTGCTCAAAAAAATTTTAGAATGTTTTATTTGTATTTGTTTTAAGCACTAGAATATTTATGCAAAGTTTCAATCCATTTTGATAAACCCTCGAAGTTAAAAGTGACAAAATTGATTTTGACTAGGGTCGCCCCTAGTCCAAAATTGAAAATTGATTTTCTATGGTGTATTTTGGTCAAAAAAAATTTTTTGGATGTTTTTATGCTTTCTCGAAATCCCGGTCCCGACAAATTTTCGGGATCGGGATCGGGATTGAAATTTTTCGGGATTTCCCGGGAAATCCCGGGAATCCCGAATATGTAAAAAAATTTAAAAAACAGCATTTTTCTGCTTTTTTTCCAAAAAAAATTGTATATTTTTTTGCTACTTATACGGTCATTTATTCCTTAATTAATTAGTTATAATTTATGTGTTACAAGGTAGATGTTTTAATCCATGTTTCCTTTGAAAAATGTGAACATAAACAAAAATAGAAAATAAATGTTGATAAAGATGTAAGTTTAAAGGTTATAGAAAACGGTGTGAATATAATAATAAAAATTAAGCATTAATGAAAAAACTTTTAACAAATGCAATTGCATTTAGATTCTTGTCAAGTAAACGTTTTCTTTGTTTTGTAAGAATGTTGTTACTAATAGAGAAATTTCGTTCGCTTTGAGTTGAGGTCGGCTGCATTGTTATCAATGCATCGTAAAGTTGATCTAACAAAACGGTTCTCTTCTTATTTTTGTCATACCAATTAAACTCTCTTTTCAAGTTATTTGGTTCTGTTGCTGCTGCATCTGTTGTTAATGATGTATATTCAGATATGCTTAGTTTCAGTCTATCTCGAATAGAAATGTTTAACGGTTGGATTTGATTTGCACTGGATGTTGAAGCTTCCATAGCTCCATTTGTAGAGTTTTTGACAAAATACTTTTTCAATAAGTCAATGCCAAGTTTATGTATTGCAGCTTTTGTTGACGATTTAAAATGCTTGTCTAAAGAAATATATTGAGGATTATTCAGGTAAAGTATTAAGTCAATTAATGTTCCATTTCTTCGTGCACCTATGCGAGCGCAATTCATATCGTAAACCTTTTGAGACAATAATGTTCCTTGTAGCAACAATTCGTCTAGCAAAAAGTTAATTGTTCCTTCAGCAATTAATAAATCGTTTGATTTACGCAATAATTCTTCTGTCGCGTATTTAGCAGGTTCTAAAACATCAATAATTTCCTAAACAAAAAAACCGGGATTTTCAATCCCGATCCCGATAAATTTCGGGATCCCGGGATTTATCGGGATCGGTAAATCCCGGGAAATCCCGATCCCGATCCCGATAGCGAGAAAGCATAGATGTTTTATTTGAATTGACATAATTCTGACATAAATCACATACCAATATTACTTTTTGTAATGCATAGTTTAAAAAAAACGAAATCTAAAATTTCGACTACCCACTCTTCACTGTGAAAACCAAAAAACAAATTCTTTATCTTAAAACACTTGACAAAATAGCGACATAATTCAGGATTAATTACTTTTTAATTATATCTTAGCATTTACGAGAAAATGTGGTTCAATCTTAGTGTTTTTGTAGCTGACATAATTATAACATAAATTAGGTATAACTTTTGAACTGTATCGATATGGGTCTCGGCCGTACTTCACGCCCAGCCTTCAAACTTATGATGAGCAAATCTTGGTCTATCCATAAGACTTTTGATGGTAAGGTGTGAAAATATCCGCATTGGGTTTCTACCCGATACACTAGTTTTTTATCAAAAATTGTCTTATCAAGTCTGGATGTTTGTTTTTTGGGGGCCAAAACCCAAACGTTAGCTTTCCACAAATTTAAAAGATAATCAAAATCCATTAATGCGCAATTATATTCAATCACAAAGATTAGATGTCATCAAGCCAAATCCTCTAATCCACTTCTTACAAATAGCTACATATCATTTTCATGGACGCAATTTTCAAGTACCACAGAATCTCAATTACATGAATTACATAAATTTTGACTAAATCGTGCCACTGATTTCATGTTCCACATACTTTTTATTTCTGTTCGAAAGTCGTCCAATTGATTGTTATCCGATACATTGTTCAATGTTCAATGACAACAAATACAAACTTGTTTTGCTTTATTTAAAGTCAACAATAATAAAAGGAATCCAATTAAGAGTGAATTTAAGTGATTTTATGGTAACAAACATTATTACAAGTTTAATATAATATTAAAGTGAATGGTAGATACAGATATTTATTATGTGTGATAACTGTCTTTCAAGGACTTTTTCATGTTCGGTGATGTCAAGTTCGCCAGTTCTCGCAATCATTAAACAGGTTAAAGAATAAAGGCATCCAATTCAATTTAACATGGATCTACTTAAGAATTAATTTTGCAATGATGAAGAATGAGAAAAGTAAAAGTAGGGACAGAATGGAAAACGAAGAAGAATCGATGGAATGGAAGTAAAGTTGAGTATAAAAGAGGAATGGATCAGAATCGTTGGTATCAGTTCAACTTTACAGATCTTTAAAAAAACATTAAACATTAAAATAAAAATCAATCTTATAAAAATGGCAAAACTTATTGTGTTCCTCGCTTTTGTTGCCTTATCAAATGCTGGAGTACTTGAATATTCACAGCCCACCATCATCAAGCAATTCCAACCGACAATCATTAAGAAAGTCGTAGAAGCTGAAGCTCCAGCAAATTATCAATTCCAATATGAAGTTAATGATGCCTCAACTGGTGATGTTAAGTCACAACACGAGAAGGCTGAGAATGGCGCTATTAAAGGATCATACCAACTTAATGATGCTGATGGTTACGTGAGAATTGTAAGTCAAACTTAGTAATATTTTAAAAGATTTATACTTAAATTAAAATATCAAATTGTTCAGGTTGATTACACTGCTGATGATAACAATGGTTTCCAAGCCACAGTCCGTCGTGAGCCCTTACAAGTTGTTAAGAAAATCATTGCACAGCCAGCAACAGTCACAAAAATTATTCAACCAGCCATCACAAAAGTATTCGCACCAGCTCATGGATGGGCGTAAATGAAATGTACAGGAAATTTTACAAAGCAATTATGAAATCTCTCATTCCTTATGATTAAAGTTTTATTCAGTCAGTAATTGTTATTTTAAGTAAAGAAAAAGAAAACAAAAAAATATGAAAAACGCACGTTTATAAAATAAAAATTTTGCAATACCCTTCAGAATATAGAAAAATTAAGCTTGGTTATTAATGGGATTTTTGGGTTAATGTCAATTGTTTGATGCCTTAGCATGTGTAATTTTAGAAAGGAACCGAATAGGGTTGAGAAAAATGATTAGAGGCAAGTTGTCTTGTCAAGTCTAAAATTCAGCATCGCTAGGTCAGCCGTGTCATTATCAAATAAATCAGATTCAAAAATCGTCTTAAAACATAAGCACGTGTTCCAAAAAAAAAATCCTGTCTTCTAAAAATACTTGACACACAACTGTCTCAAATGCCATATAATCTCACATACCAGAAATTCTACCGTAAAATCATCCTACGGTCGAAGACTTGTTATTATGATCTCTTTTTCTTTGGCCACATGCAACTCTCGACAAGGTCGATGAATTATTTATTTCAATTTCACTGACTACTTATGCACAAAAAAATTGAATTTTTAAAACTGTTGTCATGACAAATCAAAGTTGTGAGTTCCTATTTTGTCGAAAAGTCAGTCTTAAGGTCATTGATCACGTTAAAGTGAATTGTTTAACGAATTTCATGACTTTCGAGCAGTAATTAAAATTTAATTGTGTTGTGCACGTTAGGGTTGTTCATTTGTAGCGTCCAACATTGATGATTTTGGTAGTTCAAGGTGGTTCAAGGCAGTTCAAGGCTGTGTTATGTTCCAAGGACCAGTTTCTACACTCTTTAAATGGTTTTTCATATTCAGTGTATAATTAAAATTTGACTATCAACAAGGTTGTTCCTAGAATAGGGTAGGTTAGATTGTAGAACATCGATTTCGATTAAGTGACAAGATTAATCTATAGATTGATAATCATTGATAATTAAAATCTTAGCCAAACTTTTAATATGTTACAGTAATGCATGAATTCTCTGAGTAGCCCTAAAAACCAAAACCACATAGAGAATATCATTTAACAAATCGACGACATACGCAAACGACCTCATTAAAAATTTCACAAATATTCTGCAATATTGCATGATATCCTTTTCATCAATCAAATCCCTTAGCATCCTTACTATGTACTTGCGTACGTGATTTATGTGAGAAAGAAATTCCTACGTATAAGAAAGAGCTTCCCCTTTTAATAATAATAAATGTCTATGACGTCGACTGTGTGACGTATTTGGAGGCTTGTTCTATCGATTTCTTTCCTCTCTCTTTCTCTTCTGCATGGTTTTTTTTTTCGTTACTCGTAGTTCACCCATTCAGAAGTTTACATGCTGAAAAGAGACGGTACAGCATTTTGTGTCAGACAGTTGCACGAGACTTACGTGTTTATTAAAAAACAGAAGAGAACTAAAATTAATTATTTCTGTTGGTAATAATTGCAACCGTGATGTGAACAGTGTTAATGAAACTTCAGCAATAATTTTTAAATGCAATTAAATTTGTTTTACGAAAAGACTGATAGATAAAAGAAAAGAAATAAGTTTTCAGTGGTTACGCAACAAAAATTTATTGGAAATGTAAGGACTGGATCTGTATATCATGATTAAATTCTAATTGAAATGTGAAAATAAGTGTAATTGACGTGTTGAGTAATTTATTAATGTTTTAATCATTGAAATTAGTCTTTAATTACGATGAAAACATGAAAGAGTGCATTGAATTCATGCGGCATTTTGTGCCATGACTCTCGGGAAATATTTGTAGCTGTTTATTGTTGTGTAGTGCGAAATTTAATACTCACTTTGTTTACTCGTTGTGATATCATTTTCATGGAAAATTTCAAGATTCATAATTTTGGATTTATGACTTAATTACATTTTTTATTGTACCTACAATCTTTCGTAAAGTCATTTGCTGAATTTAATTAGTACCTAAAGTGGCATCCGCGATTATGGCTCAATGTAGCTCAATTTAATAATGTTAAGTTTATTTTTATTTTTTGAGATTTGAGATTTAAGATTTGAATCAAATCGATTTAGTTAAAATCTTTTGTCTTCTTACTAATCCTTTCAACTGAGGAATATCTGAAAGGGAACTAGACAACAAATTAACATTTAAACATTTACCTTGACAAACAAAGATCTTGATCTGTTCTTGATAATACAAAAACATCAAACTAAGATCTAGATTTTTGAAACTTAAGATTTAAAATGCGTTTCCATTAAAACATTCAAATCTAGCAATTATTTTGTACTTACACACATCCCTTACGCGCAGAATCATAAAATTCGCTCTCTTTTCTCATTTTTTTTTTTGGAGTTTTTCATTATTTGGATGTTGAATGAATTTGTGTTGGCAGTTTTACGGATTCAGACTTTAAGTGAGAATAGACAATTATTTAAATTTTTGACGTGATTAATTAATTCAGTCATTAGCCGTCTGATACTGCTTATTTTGTATTTATGTTATTAATCGCGCGTCTATAAACATTCTGCTTCATTAACTCGTCGTGCTTTTCTCTTTCTATTTTTGATAATGCATTATCGTGCATTTACTTGACCTTCGAATGAACTTTCAAAGTTGTCAAAAAAAACTAATACAATGAATGTCTGAACGTCTGTTATTTACAGTTTCTTTTTTGTGGGCTCGACTATTTTTTTTAAGTCTGATATCATTTACAGTATATAAAGACCAAACGACAGGGAATGTGGAAAAAGTTTTAACGTGAATGTAATCTGTACAGCACATGGTATATATACAAAATAAAATTATTCTTTAAATAGATTTCGATTTATATAAATAAAATAAAAATGAAAATTTTTTATACGATTCGTTTGCTCACAAAAGTCGAGTATTGTAAAAGAGAATATACAATTCGTAGTAATAATCCGAAGGAAGAGAAAAGACGACAAAAATTCTCTTTGCCAGTTGTTCATTGACACTCGAGCGATAAAGGTGGTCCAAAAAATTTTAACAATCGTAAAAAAATATTCTTTTTTTTGTGAAATATAAGTTTTTTGGCCCTTGAACGTGTGGCTGTTCAGTGTTTAAGAACAACATCAATTATCGACTATTTGCTATTTTTTTGTGCATTAATTTTGGAAATTTATTAATAAAAATATTTTTTTTGGGAACTTATTAAAGTCGTGAGATTGCATAAGAAAAAAGAAATTTAGGTGAGTACCTAAGTGAAATTAGCCTTGGATTGTCTTCTTTCTACTTTAATATACCTAATCGATTTATTTCGATTAATAAAATTAAGCTACGTTCGTACGGTTTCATATAATTCGAGATTTCTTATCTCACTCGCCTAGTAGGAAGACCTTTACATGCGGCATATAATAACAATAAAAGCTCACGCTAGTTGATGCAGCTGATACGTCTTTTATTATTCAAAATAGATTTAAAGCATCCTTTTACTTAGAAACATAATGAAATATTTTTTATGGTTCATTTCAAAATTTTCATGACGTCAAGTTAGAAATTTTTTGTTGTTTTTATTGCGAAATGAAATATTTTTAGCAATTTCAAGTCAGACTCATAATTCTCCATGATTTAAAAGTATAAAGCTATTAATCTCTCATAATTTCAATTCTCAGTAATAAAATGTGTTAATTTGCTAGCCAAATGCTTTTTCGAATAAAGTTATTCAGAGCTTCCTATTTCACATTCCATTTCACCTCAATATAACCTTCAGAGAGGAAAAAGTCGTCCTTTCTCCATTTTTTTGTGCAACAAGTGTTAGATGATGAAAGTACTTGCATGTCGTTGGGAAAATTATCCTTTTTCTTTTAAATTGTTTTCTTTTCTTCTCGATTCGTTTTGTTGTAATTAGAGTTGTTTAGGCGTGCAGACATCGGGTGATAGGTTGACTAATTTTCTTTTTATTTCTCCAGATTCTGTAAGAATTTAATTTAATCTTTTGCTCAATTAAGGATTTTGTGGAATTAGAGATGAGTTGAATTTCTGATATATTGAGTCATATGTGGGCGAATCTCATAATAGTCAACAATAACTAGAAAATTAAATACCTAGTTTTAGACAAACTTTAAAAGCTAGTCTAATGTATTCATCCTTATAATAGCTTGCTCAAAATAAACTTTTTTAAATTTCTGGTTATTTGTGGATTGTTAAGAGTTATTTTGATGTGACGAGAGATCTTATAAGTTCATTAAATTTTACTCTTATTGATAAGATCAATAAAATCGAGATCAAGGCATAATAAGTTCTCAAAATCTCTATTTCGATATTTGAGATCCTTCTCATTAATCAAGACATCTAATTTGATATTGGAGTCTCTTCATAAACTATTATTCAGACCTAGCTACAACTCTATAATCATCAATAGAAATTGAAATCAAGAAAAGGTCTTGATTAAAGACATCAACAAATTAGAAAAGTGATAGATTGACATTGATTTCGAATTAAAAATTATGCAAAATAAAAATCTTCCACTTGCAATTTCAATTAATTTTTTCTTTATTGAATGCATCTATGCCGAGATTCAATTCATTCATTACTATTCGAACTTGTTCTCTATTTGCTTACGTATTTATCAGCAAAATATTTATTTGGCGCTACACTAATAAACAAGTAGTTTTTTATGCCTTTACAGAGGCAATAACATTTACACTAATGACAAATTTAATGTTTAAAGAGTGTGTAATCAAGCTTCATTTTTGTCTAAAAATTTTTCGTACCGATTAGGATTTTGAACTTTCTGGAAATAATGTGATTGCGTAGTCAATGACTATTGCTTAATTACATATTAATGCTTACGTCAATATTAATGTAGGTGAAATTTATAAATAATTTTGAGAATTTCTAGCATTTTTCGGATGTTTTGAGTTGATTTCAATTTTGTTGAAGACCTTGAACTATTGTTCTATTAAGATCTAGCAATGTCTAGGTTTATGGCTGAAAGGCCACAACTCTTGTCAAGAGCTTCTAAAGATTCCTCATAAATGAATTTCAAATTCTCGATGCAATGGAAAATTTTAAATAACAACATTGACACAAACCAGATGATGAGAATGTCGGAAGTGACAATCACAGAATATTGGATGTGATGCATTTTAAACAAAGACATTAAACTTACAAAAATAAAATCCAGATGTGTCTGGAAATAGTCTAGCCGAATATTTTATCTGAAATTCAAGAGTTTTAACGCACAATTCTTAGGAATTATTTAGAGAATTTTCAAGGCCACAAAACCAGAAATATGCGTAGTCATGTATTGGTTCTTCTTGTTATCTAAGAAAATTTGTCTCTTGCCAAATTTCTTTCCGGCGCAAAATTCATTTATCAAGAGAAAATAAGAAAAATATGAGAAAAATTAAATGGGTTTCGAGTATGACAGACACAACTGTGTGTATACAACTGGCTCTAACTCAACAATTCTTAAAGAATTCAGTATTGGGACATATTTTCTTGTCACGAATAAAGTAGCAATATCAAGCCCGACAAGTGAATAGCAACAGAACGGCTGTCTGATAATAAAGAGACTAGAGCAGCCTGATAATTGAAGGTTTGAGAGACATCGGTTTTAAACTTTTAATTTGATTGAAATTTGAACAATTTTAATTTTTTTAAACAAAAATTGAATAAAAAATGGTTTCAAATAATAAATATTCAAAGACAGGACCCCCATTATTTATTATAATTGCCTTATGAACAGCTTTTAATGTCCATATTTTCACACCTTTGGACCGAATTTTCATATCACATAAGGTTATTTTTAATCAAAATTCTTTTTAATTTCTCAGTGATTTCTTGACTTTAATCTTAAAGAAACATAAATTATACTTATCATTGACATTCGTAGCTCGACTCTCTCGTCTATCCCGCAAGATTTTCTACTCATTTATCACTTTACTATTCAAGGCCACTTCTTGCCAATCAAATGCCATCGATAAGGGAAAATTGGAACGCAAAAAGGTTTTTTTTTTATTTTTTGATAATGAACTTGATTCCGTTAACACTCAACACACTCCAATCAACTAAGCCATTATTGTATTTTAAGTATTGATAAGAACTATAAATATTTATGAATAGGCCAAATTAAAACCAGTTTAAGTGATGTGGTTCATCAAATCCAAAATAAGCATAAAATACCGGTTTTAGAGCCGGATGAGAACTAACGTTTATTTTTTGCACATAAAACATGCTTAATGCAATTTTATCAAATACAAATATAGATATTGACTTAATGTTTGAATTTCTTCCATATTAAGCTATTGAAAAAATGTTTGAAAGCAAATAAGGAATTTACAAAATGTTCAAATATTAGCAATTCAAATTTAGCACTTAATCGAATGACTAGATTTTTGTAATGTTATTTTAAGTCACTTTACAATTATGCGTAAATGCTAACGGAGTTTTGGCACAATTGATTAAGGGATTGATTTCTAATTAGTGTCATTGGCGCTAAATCTTTAATTGGTTTGAGACTTTATTGAAATTTGCTAAAATTTTCAAATATTCTTAACTTAATCAGGTGACAAATGGCTAGAGTAAAGTCATATTCTCGATTATTTGAAAACCGAGATTCAATCCTTTTCTTATCTTAGGATTCAATTTCAAAATTTCAACTGAATCGGAATCTTGATCTTTGGCTACTTTAAATACACATTTCTAAGAATGATAGCCTAATTAGATTCTAATTCAATGTTGATATAGCCAAGATTAGTTTAGAATTAGATTATCAACGCATCATCTATTAGATCAGGTTAAACCTGATTCTATTTCAATTTTTCATTATTTCTCCTTCATTGTCTAGTCAAGAAGAGTGACGTCTGGGCTATGCAAAAATATTGCAAAAAAAAATTTAAAAATATAAATTTGAAGTTTCAACAAAGGCAGTCTCGTGGATTATAAATAGCATTACAAATGGGATAGAATGTAAAATTGTCAACTGAATTGTATTAAATACAATGTGGAATTTTTTCTGCCACTCAAAATTAACTTTTGAAAATGCAATCGAGTTTGTTCTTATTTTTTAAAAATATACAATCACAGATCACGGGTTTATCTGAGTCTAGGTATATAAAGCTAGTAGCAACGTATTTAAATTTTAAATATATATTTTCGAGAAAGTGGGCACGCTTTATATAAAAACCTGACGACATAATTAAAAGTTATTAGCAACTTGACATTCACTCTTGGTGAATAACAAAATCAACGTTGAGCAAAATAAATCTACTGTCTGCCTTAGTTGCCGGGAAATAAACAGTGAAAATTTAGAACCGAGTGTGTTTACATAAATAACACACTTATTTCATTTTCTTTTCCACTGATCGAGGAAAATATAGTAAGCAAAAGTTCGTCATGTGCTCCATACACATCTCGGAAATGAATTAAAAAATTTCCTTTAAAAACTTATTTATTATTTTTTGAGAGATAAAAATAACCAGCGAGAGAAAAAAAAGTTAAATTCAAATAAGCCACATGACATATCTAGCTTCTGTTATTTATTGAATGTTTATGATGTAAACGTGCGTTGTTATTACGCAGTCCGAGCACGTGTGTTTTAATATTAACAAAAAAATATCTGCAAGAATCAATGTTTTGGCTTCATTTCTCTCTGTAAATACGGACTTGCTAATTGTTATGACCAAGATACTAGTTCGCATGCATGCATCTTGTTTACAATTAATTATTAATAATGTAAATATTTTTTACAGATTATAAAAATGAATAAAGACGGACCGGTTCCTACGTCACCAATGCTCTACGATCCCATTCCAGAGGGGTCTGTCCAGACCACAAAGTCTATGCAGTTTATTGCCGCTGCTGCAGGTGAGAACAAGCTATAAATTTAATTTATTAAGAGCAATTAGCATCGATTAGCATTTTGGCATAGAGCTAGAAAATTATATGAAGTGGAGATAAAGCCATGACGTCACAAAGATAGACTCGAATTTTTCTATGAATCCAGTTAATTTGGTCTCAAACACTTATAGATTAGTATCAGAACTTTTATCAGTAACGAAGTACTTCTGTTTTCAAGTCAATCATTTGACGAAAATGTGATCACATTTCAAGTTCATTTTTCACACAAATTTTAAGACAACCCTTATTACCCTTTAAATATATCCTTGATAACGATATCCAATTCCCTTTAGTCACATTTACGAAATAAAATCGATGTCGACATTGCCTTCCATAAAATTATGAAATATCAAAATTCAGTGGATGAATCTTTGAAAGTTGACACAAATAAATGACAGTAAGCCTGTCACACGATTTATTTCTGCACATGAAACCCCTCGATTACGATTAAGTTCAAAGTCTTTTGTCTCTTACAACATACATACATGCTTTCACTTTTATTTGCTAAATGTCATTCACATTTTATGTCCAACATTTATTTTTTTTGGAGAATTTGGGTGAATTTCTTCCATTAAACTAGAAAAAGACAAAGACGTAATTTTTGAACGATTCCTTTGTATAAAGAATATAGGGGAATTAGAGGAATATAGAGCAATTTCGGGCAATTATATTCAATTGTAGTCTAGTGAATGCCAAAATATTTAATCAGGCAATAGGGTCGGTTGTATGATCTTCAAAGTAGATTATTTTCAGTTCTATAGTTCTTTAAGTAATAAAATCCAGCTTAAACAAGGCTTTGGATTTCTGACTTAAGAATCAAAAGTATCAGATCACATTTATGACTTTTATTTGCTAATCCACAAGACTTTATCACTTGATCATTTGAATTGGACATTTTACTACATACAAGTCATTGTGCTGCACGTCACATATTATGGCAGAAAAGTCTTAATGACTCGTAGAACAAGAATGAATGTGTATCTTATAGTAGAACATGACGATTGATTTAAATCATCGCACGGTTCCTTAAATCCTTGTAATATTTTTAAAGCATGATGTCTATTAAGACTTTCGTCCGATTGCTAATTGCTTCTTTTTTCATATAAAAATCTGAATCAATAATTTTGTTATCATTTTATAACTCTTTTGTTTTTATTATTTGTCTACAGTCTCTCTAGCTGCCGTCAGCGCAGGAACTGCATTAGCTTGGACGTCACCAGTAAATGAGCAATTGAATTTAAACACCACGATTTCAGTAGATGATGATCAGAGTAAGTAATTATCAACGAAAAAAACAGTATTTACACTACGGAAAAACGTGTATTTGATAAATAGCTTGTACTTGAAAATTAAATTTCGTTCTGCAAAAAAAATAAGGAAAATTAGTCGCTTAAAGTGGACAAATATTGTTATCGATAATGTGATAAAGGAAAATGCGAGAACCAAAATCACTGTGTGGCACAGCGTAAATTTAGAGATTTTGATCGACCTTAATGCTATCGACTACTTGAAGACTTAATCTAATCGGCTGCTGAAAGGCCCAATTAATAGCTTTGTCGCAGATTTGCCAAATGGCTTGTGACTACTCTTTTTATTAAATTATTGCCAATTTTTTACTGCTTAATTGCTACTTGAGGAAACATAAATCACAATCCATTATTTTATGAGACATTAGCTTCAGCAATAGAAGAAACCGAAACAGTATCAAGAACATCTCCGTTATCTCATAAATGGTCTGTGTGATGCAAATCGCATATTATGACATTAAAGCATTTATTTGATTAAGTCGTGACACAAATTTTTTAATTTGTAGCATTTTAATGGAAGAAGAAGATGCAATTGTCTAAAATCTGTTCCTTTGTGGCTTTGGATTAAAGGCTAGTCTTGAGTTAATGTGTTGGAATTAGGTTTAGGCACTGCCTTACTGAGTCCCATCATGTTTTCTTCCTCTTTACCTATAAAATCAAGAGTATCTTCTCCTTATTAAAACTCAAGAGCCCACTGGATTGACCCCTACATATTCCTAAGAAGCAAAAACGTCCCGAGCCATAGAAAATGCGCTTTCATCACACTAAAGATTTAAATTCAATTCAAAAGTCACCACATGATAATTTATAATCGCAGATTATTTGCATAAATTTCCTATATAAAGTGCACTAGTTCCTCACATATGGAGAAAATGTTTCAATTGACTTAATAGTCTGAAAGTGTCAGTACAATTCGTGCATTACAACAATGTCAATAAACTAGTTTTCTTATCACTCTACACAAGTGTTAATTGACTATTTATTTACTAGTAATTTATTGATGACGCCTAAAGTCGAGTATTTTTCGTTTAGAAGTGCCACCGATGCATACTGAATATCAAAAATTAATTGACATTTTCTCTACGTTTAATTACAGAGTCATGGATTGGATCATATCTCGCTGTTGGAGCATTCGTTGGTGCATTGCCTGCTGGCGTGTTAGCTGAGCGTGTTGGACGCAGAATTGCCACAATGACAATTGGCGTACCGTATTTAATCAGCTGGGCACTTTTAGTATTCGCTTCAAATGTTGGCATGCTTTATGCTGGACGTATATTTGCTGGTATTGCAACTGGAGCTAGTTGTGTTGTAGCACCAATGTATATTTCTGAAATTGCTGAGACATCACTTCGTGGCGCTTTAGGTGCTTTCTTCCAACTTTTCTTGACTGTGGGAATTTTGTTCATATACCTCGTTGGTGCCATAACAGATTGGGTTACTTTAAGCGCGTGCTCTGCTATATTTCCACTACTACTCATAATTTGTGTATTCTTCATCCCCGACAGTCCGATTTATTTAGTCAAACAAGTAAGTACTCATCAGGATTCGATCATAAATGACGTCACAAGTAAGGAGAAGGAGGTTTTGGAGTCTATAACAGTAAAATTCCCAAAATTACAATGGTTTCTTTTATAAACAGTGACGTCATTTAAGAACGACCCCTTCAAATGCTCACATTTACTCAAGCTCTTCAGCTTGTTGACTTATTTCCAATATTGACATAACTCGTGTCTAAAATAAAATCTTTTTTGTTTCTCGTTCATTGACACTTTAGGGATCGAGACAAGAGGCTGGTCAAGCATTGAAAACATTCTGGGGAAGACAATGCGACACACAGACTGCATTAGCAAACATCCAAGCAGAACTTGATGCCGTTAGTGGTGATGCCAAACTTTCAGACTTGTTTACAGTTCGTTCGAATTTCATGGCACTTACAATTTCACTTGCTCTCATGTTGTTCCAACAATTTTCTGGTATCAATGCTGTCATCTTTTATGCACAAAGTATTTTTAATGCTGCCGGAAGCACTTTGGAGCCATCTATTTGCACAATTATTGTTGGTGTTGTTCAAGTTGTTATGACTGTAACGTCTGCTGCATTGATTGAGAAAGCTGGACGAAGAATTCTACTATTGCAGTCATGTGTTGTTATGGGCTTGTGCTTAGTAATGTTGGGAGTTTATTTCCATTTGAAGGAAGGTGGAACTGATGTCACAAACATTTCAATTCTTCCGTTGGGCTCTGTTGTTCTGTTCATCATCAGCTTCTCATTGGGTCTCGGACCTATTCCTGTAAGTTGTCTTGATTGGTTTGAATAACCTTTGGACTAATTTACTTTTGTACTTTTTTCATCCATACAGTGGCTTATTATGGGTAAGTTTAGACAACGATATAATTAATCACATTTAGTTAAAACAACAATTATCAATCAACAGGTGAATTGTTTGCAACAGAAGTAAAAGGAGTTGCATCAGCATTAGCCGTCATGTTCAACTGGACATTAGTATTCATCATTACAAAAACATTCGGTATGATGCAAGAGGGATGGGGATCAGGTCCAACATTCTACTTCTTTGCTCTTTTCATGTTACTCGGTACAATCTTCACATTCGTGAAAGTGCCCGAGACGAAAGGCAAAACGAATGCTCAGATTCAAGCGATTTTAGCTGGAAAGAATTAAGTTCAGACATCCAGCAAATGATTTTTTTTAACCAGAAAGCTTCTTTTTAATTTAAAAAAAAGTCTTCTTAGCTTTAAGTGTTTTATTGTTTGACTCATATCAAGGAACAGATTGTTAGTTGTTTTTTTAGTAAATTTTTGTTTTCGTAAATAAATTATGAGTATTTAAATGCGCAGCCTAGCCTTTTTACTGCGATATTTACAAAGCAATTAAAGAAGAAGAGAAATATTCATCAAAGTGCATCACAATAATCAAGGAAATGATAGGCTAGGCATTAATTATTGATTTTTCATTGCAAAATCAACTGGTAAATCGCTCAAGGACATAAAGAAAATTCATCATAGCCGAATATGATGTAGTAATTTGGAAAATTTGTTAATCGTTCTTAGCTGTAATTTTCATGTTATTTGAATCAGGGTTGCAATCTGTCGACATCCTTTACAGAATCTGAATCTGCACTAGTTGACTCCAACGCGTCATTACCACCCTGATTTAAAAGAGTTTTAGAGTTCAAAATTATTCATAAATTCATATTCTTAATCTTATTGGAAGTAACTGAATGAATTGAGAAAGGAGATTTTATTGAGCAATGATCAATATTGGACTGCATTTTGGATATAATAATGTTATGAGATAAATCCCCAATTAAAGAATTTTACACTCCACTATACACAATTTTTATAGAAGGGTGAAGTAACCGATGGGATCCATTATAAGAGATACTAAGAAGAGTGTGGGTGATCAAATGTCCTTGTATGAATGGAAAAATCCATCACCTCACTCCTCTAGACACAGTAATCATACATGTGACATCATTCAATTTAGGAATCTATGGGATACTTGTTCTGATATTTGTATTGTACTGAAATATTTTTTTTGAGCACGTGTATACAACAAATAGAAGAGTAAATAATAGAAAATCCATCCCAAGCCATGCTTTAAATGCTCAATAGTACACAGAACATTGTCATGTAATGTCGTCTGCATTGTGCGAATCTTTCATAAGAACTCAGCCACAGAAGGCTTGCTGTCACATTGACAGATTCCTTTCCTTACATTTGGCTCGATTCCACTCTGCCATGACATTTTAATTCACAGCAAAATTAAAGCAAACAAGAGAGCATGTACAAAAAAAAACATATTTTGTCGCAAACAGTCTGATATATCAAATAATAATAATATTTATCTATAAACAAGAAAAAAAGAATGAATTAACATTTGTTAGACTAATCATTACACGATTTTTTAAAATAATTTCTATGACTTGAAACCCCAAATATGGAGTTGAAGTAAAATTAAGGGAAATTGTGTAATGGAATTATAGTAAAAAGATAAACTTTAACTAGGCTTATTAAACGTTTACTGTAATATGTTGTAAATATCAAAGATAATAAACATGAAAAAAATATAAAAGCAATGTTATTGTTAATTATTTTTTTCCTTCTTGATGCTTTTTAAAGAATTGATTTATTCACTTTTTAAGAAATAACCGTCATTTCAATATTTGAATTTATCCAAGACGCAAATCATAAAAATCAAATGGTAAAATTCCGTTAAAAAGTAAACTATCAATAATGATTTAACTACACCTAAATATCGATACTTAATTTATAACAAATAAAAACGTGGAAATATCAAAATCTACATGAGCCATTCATTTTAACGAATTATTCTTTGGTATCGACCTATATTGATTAAATTATTATTCAAACATTCTTATCTGCTGCTCCGATATAACAAGACATACATTTTTAAGCATAGAGAACGTCTTTCAACATTAATGTCAAGTTATACAAAGGAACAATTCCCGAATCATTTGTATTTTGTAGGACAAATTCCATAGCGACTAAATGTTCCTTCAATTTACGATTAAATGACGAATTTTTCAGCTTTGATCTTGATTGTTCACTTTTCGACGCAATACTCAACAACGTTTGGAGAATCAACAGCTTATCGTCTTTACTTTCGTCATCCAATAAAATTGAATCTATTGTTTGCATAAAATCATCCGATACGAGAACGATATAGCCGAGACTTGAGTTGATTGATAAATTTCTAATTATTTTCAGTGCTGATGATTTCATTGATTGATTTCCGATACGTACTACTCGACACAATAAAGAGATTTGTCTGTGGATAGGAGAGCAAAAAAAAGTAATTAATATTTTATGGAAAATTTTCTCATTTTAATAAATAAATACCCTGGCGAGCATTCACAGTCTTCATAACGAGAAAGAACTTCGAAAAACGCAAGCCACATTTCAGCTACATCATTCCATGTCGATTTTTTATTTGACTGAACTTGCGGATGCAATATATCAAGTGTTTGAAAGATTTTTGCATTCTTCAATATTAAACGAACATCAACCATATGACTGCACTTTTCAATCGTAAATAATCCATTCTGAATCAGAACTAAATTTGAATCTGTATGTGGAATTTTCTGTGTTTCTTTCTGTACTTTTTGTAAGATTCCTTTTATCACTGATGTTCCATTTATTTCTTGCGTGATGCAGGCTTTTATTATGTCTAATTGGCTGATGTGCTGAATAAATTGATAGAAGATATTCAACAAGATCTTATCAGCTTCAATCCACGTAAATATTTTCTTCAATTTTTCAAATAATTCCTTCATTGTTGATGATTTTTTTACTGCAGGCAATTTCCATTCCGTGATGGCTTTTAATAAGACACACAAGTTTCTGTTGAAATGCGTACACTGTGGAAATAGAATTGGATTAATTAATCAAGGGGGTCATTCACTTATTACGTTACGCAAAACACCCCCCCCCCCCCTCCCCTCTTGTTACAATATGTTACAACTCACCCCCCCCCCCCCCCCCCCCCTTGAACGTTCATAATTTATATTATTTTGATAATTTTTTATTCTAAAAAGACGGTTAAATTTCTTTTGTATTTTTTTTCTTAAACATCAAAATACTGTACAGCTAAAAAGGTCATGTTTTGATTGATACTATTAGTATTCTCATGAATTATTGGATTGTGATATAAAGCAAAAATTTGTTTTTTTTTGAAGAAAATTCAAAAATGTCATGAAAAATATTATGCCCGATAGAATTTTGGAAAATTCAATCAACTTTGAATGTAAATATCACAATGATGGGATCTTATTAATCATCATATGAATGATAGATTTAGAGAGATTTACTTTTACAGTAAATACTACCACAAATTATTAGCTATCAAAAGTGTTCTGGACATTCATAAATCATTTAAAAGGTGTGAATTTGTAAACAAATTTTTTTCGTGAGCTCTTTTTTAAAAGACAGACGACAATTAGAACGTTAAATACTTCTTGACCCCCCCCCCCCCCCCTATGTTACAATTTTTAAACCCCCCTCTCCCTTAAAGTGCGAACGTAAGGATGTAAAAATAATTTTCAAGGATAATGCCAAGTTGAAAATTCCCATAGAAACTTCTGTTAAACTTTTATGTATTTTCATCACGTAAACTCACCTTTTGTGAGCCATGCTTCTTCACAGCTTCAGAATATGAATTAGTAAGCATACTGATTGAACTATTAATAAAGGATTCCGTTTTATTTGCTATCCATTCTTGAAGTTTTATTTCCGTAGCAAAACTTTTGGCTCTGTTGCTCTCATTCAACAAAGTTCTGATGAACACAAATGCTGTCAGTCTTGTTTGGTAACATACTGTGGGATAAATAAGTTAGTAAATTATTGATCATTGATTAAAATCAAAAATTAATCTTACAATCAGGCTGTTTCAAGTTGTCAGCATAATTAAAGATTGTTACAGCTTGTAGCAGGAACAAATCACTCGCATGAATGACTTTTCTAAAATGCTCCTCAAAAAATGCATTCTCAGATTTTCTCAATTCAGCACCAAGATCTTTCGGGATATCCTTAAACTTATTACTGTGAATGATTTCTGGTAAATAACATCCAAATATGCTCGTTGATACATCATGTTTATTGCAAACATAGGCATTTAGGAACGAAATTAAGAACTTGATGTGGAAAATAATTTCATTTGCCGTATTTGATGTCTTTAATCCACTAAATAAAGCCATAGTAAATGACTCGAATAGATTTGGATCAGTAAAGACTTTTCTGATTTTATCAATTCCACTTGATGATGATGATATAAGTATTAAAAGGATATTAAGTATATTGTTGTTTATTGTCTTGTATTCATGGGACTTTCTCGCTTTGATTGCCTCGACACTTGTTGGATTTTCTAAGTTTATGAATAAATCTCTCAGTTTATTATCAGAAATGTTTGTGACAACATCGCTGACATATTCCTTTAATTTATCATACGAATGGCACATTGTTATAATATCTAGATTGTCTGTTGCATTATCAAGCACTCTTCCAATTATTTTCCTTTGCTTGACTATTTCAGCTACTTCAGGAACTTTATTTTGTATCATTTTCTTGACCAAGAAGCTTGTTGTTTCATAGCAAATTGGCCTTTGATCGAGGAACTTAACAATTATTTTCAATTGCTGCTTATTGCTTGATATTTTTAGCTCATCGCTGGTTGCTGAATAATCTAAGAAATTGCCTGTTGAAATAACGAATTATAAATATTTGAATTGAGCAATCAAACAATAAAATTTGAATTTCAAAAAACCGTTGAATATTAAATATTAAATTGATTTGACTTATTCTTACCTATAACCAATGCCAGTGCTTTCTGTTCATAATTTGACTTGACATCGTCAGAAAAAATTCGTTCCAAAATCATGTCAAATATTGTAAAATCCAGTTCATTCTTAAATCCTTCACAAAATTTATCAAAGCAATCTTTAGTACGAGTTAAATTTGCGATTATTGACCAAATTAAAGCTTTATCGACCTTTTCACTCTCCTTGATCCATAAGAACAAGGTAGAGTAACATTCATCGGTGATTGTGAAGTTGTATTTTAAAGAAGTTAAAGCATCAATTGCAGCAAATATTTGATTAATGATGTAAGTATTCAAAAATCCAGACTTTTCATTCTTCTTCTTTGTCTTTAAAAACTCTCTCGACGCTCCAATGAACTTTCCAAAAATCCCATTGACAAACTTCTCATCCAATTCAATTGGCATAATTCTCAAGACATTCCTTATCAACGTATATATAGCCTTGACTGATGGTACTTTTGTTACATCGTTCCATGACTTATCCTTCATTGCTACATCGAAGAGATGCTCACACAACTTCTCAATTAAATTTGATGGAAAATGAATCTTGCAAAATTTACTCAAGCTTAAAATTATATTTTCAGTCAGTCCCTCTCTTGACTCACATTCCTTTACAACTGCATTTATGAAGTTAAGCATTTGGATGTAAACATTCTCATCAATTTGATTCGTTTTCTTGTAGATCAGAGTGAAAGGATTTCGTAACAGCATTTTGACGATAGCATCTGTTGACATCCAAGGTATGAATAGATTTTGATACAGCATAATGCATTTAACTAGCATAGACTTCTGAACATCACAATGATCATCAGCATATTGTATAAATTTTCCCATCTTCTTGATCATTTCCATAGCAAATGAGCTGATGTTCATGCTAGGAAGCATCATAATACAAGATATTTTACTAATTTGTCGTTCCAAATCACGAACAGTCTTGACAGTTTCGAATGCATGACTTATACTCGATGTTATGTGATTGACTGTTGTATCTCTCTTGAATTTATTGTCACTTTCAGTTAGAATGAGACTTTTAGGTAGCTTCAATGCGTTGTTGCTTAATCTTTTGTAATAATCATCATAAGTTAAAGTGCATGTCATAAATTTAGAATCTGGATTCTTGCTAAACCAAATTGCACTAAATGTGTATCTCAAATAACTTAATGTAATTTCCTGCACATCCATATTTTCACTTGGAACTTCTAATGCTTCAAACAGCCATTCTAATTGTGTTACTTTATTAAAAGGACTCTCTGTCCAATGAATCTCAAACTTGAATGGACATTGAAGATTTTTAACGAATTTCGGCAGTGAAATTGTTCTCTCGTTTGCGACAATAAAGTCACTGAATGCTAACAGGAAAAGCAATGAGCACGCTTGTGTCTTAATTTGAAGATCATCTTGGAAGTAAATTAATGTTTTAATCAGGAACTGTAGAACTGCTGGCTCATTTGATAAGTAGATACGGAATGATGAAATAGTTACAACCCATTTATACAAGATATTAATGACCAACTTCCTAATTACTGGATTATTTGGATATCCCATATCGAGATTAGCCATAAAATAAATCCATACATTATCATTGTGCGATAATTGACAAAGTTTCGAGGAATTCATTTGGACACTAAATTGTAAAAGTACGGATTGTAAAATTTCTGATTCCTCATTTGGATTTAGAGTTGACAAGACATTCTTAATTGTCTCATATGAATCGGTGCTGAATTTTACACTTCTATCAGGCATTTGTAAATCACCAACCTGATTATCTTGCAGAACACAGAAATTATTAGGAACAATCTCGATGAAATCTTGTGTAAATTCAGGAATTTTAAGATTTTCTAATAATTTAATTTTTGCCATTTCTCGAGCTTTTGGATGTGAACAGAATAGGAATCTTACAAAAGCTTGATTAAGCTCATTCTCATCAAAACCTGAATGCTCGTGAAACACGTCAAATGAGAAAAATCCCAACTTTTGATCAGTCTTGAATAAACAAGGAACTAAAGGCAGAACAGGACGTATAATATCCAGTATTCTAGCCCAGTGATTTGGAAAGACGACTTTTGAACGAAGCAACGCGAACAAAATTAACTTTGCATGCTTATAAATTTCCTCATTTTGATCACAATATCCAAAACAGAGAATTTCTGTGACAATTTCTGTTGTTATAGGAATTCCAATAATGGCACATAAATCCACTTTTTTATTAATGTCTTCTTGGTCTTCAGACAATTTGTTTTGGACACAATCTCTTGCTATTGAGTATGCTTTTAAACGAATTTCTGGCAATTCGTTGCTTAATAGACGTAATACAATTTCTTCTGCTGCTTTCTTTAGTCTATCCATTTTTTCGAACTGCTCGGCACATCTTTGAATTGTAGGAAATAGCAAGTCAATTAATTGTATACTTTTGTGGATTCTTATTGTGTCCAAACATTTTAATCCTTTGTAAATTATGCTCTCATCGACATTACTTTCCCAATTTTGGAATAAATCTATAACAGGTCGCCAAGTTGCAGTAACATTTAGTAACAAATTCATATCCTTATCATCTTTAATCACTTCAATCCTGTTACTCTTAATTAAATTGTAAATCTCTTTGTGTGAATTACTTAATGTCCAATCGAGCAGTGCTAAATCACTTTCAAATTCCCATAAATTATTTTCGCTATATTTTGTAATATTTTCAACATTAATCCTCGACACAAATGCATTAATCAGGTAGATTAGGACGATGTAATTGAATCTATAAATGTCAGGATTTGATTCTTCTCTAGCATAAATTAAACGAAATCCACGACAAACTTTTGCCATCATGTTAAGAAGCTCATTTAAGTAAATATCACAGACATCTTCAGTATTTTCGACCAAATCAACCATATCAAAGAGGATCAAATAAATAGCATTAAGTCTTTGTTGCTGTAATTCTAGATTAATATCGAGGCAATTATCGTTGAAGGTTTCAAAAATATTCGTAAACATTTGAATGACTTTGTTCATGTGCTTTTTGATTGGAATGTACTGTAGATTTTGCTTCTTAGCTTCAACGTAGCGTTCCTTTAGTCCATTAATGATGAAATGAATAGATTTGAAGATTTCTAGAGCATTTTCTGTATTAACTTTTGGCAAAATGTCTATGAATGTTTCGAGGACATTTGGTGGTTGTAGGAAAAATTCAGCTGGATAGTCGCTAATTGTTACACGAAGGAATTTGAGGATATTACTAAGATGCTTTTTATCTTTATACAACAATAATTGTGAATCTATGAAATTGAATGTTTCCAAATTCGATCCATCCAAATTAATCCAAAATTCGTAGTTTCTACTATCAATGTCTTCCTTCTCTTCCTTATCACATTTTGAGCTACTTTGCTTTGATGGAGAAATCATCAATTTTTGCATCCGATCTATAAATGAGTTTTCTGTTAAAGCCACACTAGAAGTTGTTGGAACTGGATTATGTTCAAGAAATGATCCAGTCTCATTTGCTATATCAATCAATAAGCCATATTCGAATTTCTTTAATAGTTCATCAATTTTGTGCAATTTTTCTGAACTTTCAACAGGCATTAAAAGTCGCGAAATTTTAATCATTTCCTTTTTAAGCCTTGCTAATGACATAGATTGTGTGATGTGTCTGAGAAAATCTTCTCGCTATAATAGATCAGATGGGTTAGTGCTTAAATAATGAAATAAATAATACAATAGAAACTCACACTGAATATCATGATTAGAAGATCGAAAATTTCGACTTCATTCGTGATTGGTTTATATTGGAACCATCGTATTAATTGTCGTGTAAGGACATCAAGATTAACGACACCAAATTCTTCCTCAGCATATGGATTTCTGTTCTTTTCTTCCACTAAAATGTTGTTTTTCATAATTGACGTAATTTCTTGTAGAGCATTTTGCCTAGTTTCTAGTTTTGGATTGTCTGTAATCAAGTTAATTGCACATATACTCAATGAAATTCGTGAAATATAGTATAATTATACTTACTGAGCCGCTCCAAAGCGTTAGAATCGATGAAAAATTTCATAATTTAATTATTTTCTATTTCAATTGTTATTTTCTTCGTAAAATGTGCGTTAAAATATTTGAAAATTCAAATTCAAATGTTTTTTGACAGTTAGAACCGTTTGTTTTCAATCGGTTCAAATTTAAATTCAACACGTGATGAATCGGTTTTAACAACATTTTTATAGAATTTTAATTAAAGCATTTTTATTAATTCCATTCAAATTTTTACATGTATTTTCTGACAAAATTAGCTATAAGTTCAGGTTGGTTATAAAAAGTTATTTGTGTAAAAAATATTTTTGGCTGAATTACATTAAAATGATTCCTCTTTATACCTCTGTGACTGGTCTTTGTGCAATGTATTTCTGAATATTCTCATTTGAGATAACATTGTCAACGACTTGTCTCAAATTTGGGAAGTTTTCAAGCAAATCGAGTTTCGTCAAGTAATTCAAGTAGTCAATGATACCGGCAAAGTAGATGTCAGCCCAGGTTGTCTAGAAAATTAAGGAACTAAGTTAGATCTGATAAGATGAATATGTCAGACATGACTTACTCTATTTAATACTAAATGACCACCATTTTCTTTAGCAACAACGTTCATCTTAGTAAGATAGAATGGGATAACTTCTTGTGTCAAAGTGATCATCTTCTTCTCCTTAACAGCATCATCTGGCTCGTATGAAACAATTGCGATCTCTATGGATGTTGACTTAGAATTAATAAGGTACAATAGGCATTTATCAGTAATCATACTTAGACGAAACTCGTTGATGGTGTCGACAAGAGCATCAATTTGTAAGTCCTCAAAAGCATCTTTACCAGCAACTCCGACTTGCTTGGCAATATAACGGCACATAGCGAGACTTTGATGCACACGCTTTCCATCAACTTCCAAAACAGGCATTTGTCCCATTGGCATAGCTAACATATTTTATAGGTTCAAAATTAATTAAAAAACTACGCAAAATTTCTGTTTTATTGCATTAACTATCAATATTAGACTATCCATCAAAGCTCGCATTTGTGTGGCTTAAATAATTAATTCTTGAGAATATTTCATGAGAGTTTGTTGAGAGACACAGCATATAGACACAGAACAGAAAAACGTAAAAGAATAAAATAAATGAATGAAAAATAATACTTAATTTTTAAGGGTACAACGAAGGATGTCCATTTGGTGCTGTAAAAAAGAACTTGTAAATTAAAGAAAATTGTTTAAAATTCTTATAATTCCGGCTTTAGTAACAAATCAATCTAAAAAAGTGTAAAAATTCATAAATTAGTGGTGTGTCTAAATATCAGTATGTGGTCTATTGTTAATCCAGTCTTGAACAGCACTTTGTCCGATGACATTGTCAACGACTTTTCTCAAATTCTCATGATTGGCTGTAAGGTCTTGCTTAGCCAAATAATTGAGATAGTCAATGATTCCAGCAAAATAAAAGTCGGCCCATGTAAGCTGAAATAAGAATTTGCCAAATATTAGTAAAGGCTGAAGGGTGATGATAAGCACAGTATATACTCGTCCAAGTGACAAATATCCTCCATTTTCTCTTGCAATGTCATCCAATTTCTCGAGATAGAATGGAATTACTTCATTATTGAGTGTGACAAGTTTCTTTTCTTTGACTTCATCGTCAGGCTCGTAGGAAACGACGGCAATTTCTAAAAGTCAGACGATGTGATCATCAAATTTATAGGTACTTTATTTACGACTTGCTTTGGTCATCTGTTGAGGATTTTTGACAACAAGAAGCTTAGTCCTCAACTTCCAAAAAATCCTCAAAAATGACCAAAGCACGTTCATTAAGTTCACATACTCAAACGAAAGTCATTGACTGTATCAGCAACTGTATCAATTTGAAGATTTTCCCAGTCATCATTGCCAGCAAGCTTGATATCTTTAGCGATAAAGCGACAGCATGCAAGCGATTGATTAACTTTCTTTCCATTAACTTCCAAGCATGGCAATTGATTCATTGGCATACCTTTATGATGAGTAGTAAGGCAGAGAGAAGAAAAAAAAGGGGAAATAATAATAAGATGGAAAAAGAAAGGAACTTCCATCGATTTTGAAAAAAGTAAAGTTTAATGCTGAATATATAAAACTGTCATGAAATATTCTCATTCGCCATAATATGTAGGTGGTGACATGCACACCTACATCAATGTGTTCTCAATTAGCACTCGAAAATAATTTGTAAATTTGAGCTTTGCGTATATGCGATAAAAATAGATAATTACAATCATTTGACTTCAATTGAAAGCGGAATTAGCAGAAAATTATCACAAAAGGTTATTTTAAGCACTGCAAATAAGAAGTAAAATAGCTAGTCACATGTAGGTGATTTTTTTTTTGGGGATCCAATTTTAGACATGTAAGACACGCTGATTGATTAATAGATTATATACTTTGTTAAGCATTTTTACACTACAAGACCAGAATTTAAAAATAAAGTGGACTTTTTTTATAGGCTTAAGAAAAATTCGGGATCAGAAGTGATTTGTTTGGACTTACTAGGCTTCAATGCTGGCCAGTCATTCCTTAACAATTTAAAATCAAATTTAGGATTTATGTTTAAACTCAAAATTTATTGTTTAAGTCGTCGTACTCACCTGGAAATACGAACATCCTCGAATGGCAAATTTCCATATGAAAGCAAGAAGCGAAGAGGCTCGCCCAATGCCTTAACGTTGAAATAGAATACTTTATATTCTGGCATTATCTGCAATTATTGTTTTTTCTTATTAAACTAATTTATTCATTTATGTCTGTAATGTCGTGAACATTGTGGAAATCTGTGTTGTTCTGGGTATGAGATCAATGTCTAAGCTTTAGAGCGAAATAAGCAGCATTATCAAGGTTTTAGACTTCAAAAAGTCTTGCTAAGATCACAGCTAGAAATATCTTTATACAGAGACATTCAAAGTCTGGTTTATGTCCTTGATTGTCCATGCAAATATCCAGATATGAACGTTCTTCAAGATCAAGTATACCTTAAAAGTTTACTAAGGATCGAAAGTATAGAGTCGGTGACTTAATGTCTAAAAGCTCTTCCTCATTAGCATTTGATGTCACATAGCTTCCGCATTCTCTATTGCTGGGGTTCAACACTCTCTTCTTTTGAAAAATGTCATAACAAGTTTAAAGGTACTTAGAAAAATTCAGCAACTATTTAAATCGACCCCATTTCCTTAATGAAAAAAGCTATCACATCTATTGCCTAACCACTCAGACTTAGTCTTTTTTTTTCTCACTATTATGGAATCAGATTCCACTCTGCTACGACATCACAATTTCTTCTTCTTAATAAACTTCTGATTCACAGATTATCATAAAGCTTATCCATTTATCACACATTCTTATATCCTTACTTCAAAAATGATGTTACGAAATCACCAAAAAAAACTTTTTACACAAAAAATTTAAAGGACCGAATTTCCAATTTCAGCCGAACAGAACGAGACTTAACAGCCGACTAAATTAAATTTAAACAATTAAAATTTAAAATTATTTCCCTTTGCTGCTTGTTGGTGCTTAAATCCGATAGTTTCCGAAAGAGATGAAAAGCCTTTTCGAATTTAAGATTAATTCTCAATTGAATTTTATGCGAATTAGATCTTTATTTCTCTATTTACATGTTTTCTTTTAATTTAATGTACAGTCTATAATCTCATTTGTTCAGGAAATTAATGACTAAGTTAAGGAACTCTTCACTTCTCTCTGCGTGCACCCTGTGAAGATGTAAGATATTAAAATAATATTAATTTTATAAAGCTCAGAAATGCTCACCAATGACCAGCATCTAAAAATTCAATTGTTGACTTCGGGAAGAGCTTCTCTATTGCGGGTTTATCTGCTGGTCTGAATATAAGAATTTAAGTAGCTTTAATGCTTTGAATTGTAGTTTCAAACTTACTTCAAATAATCAGATTTGGATCCTCCAATAAAAAGTGTCGGTCCATCAAAGTGCATTCCTTGCGTACTTGGAAATTGAGCTACGCCAGTTTGGAAGCATCTATTTAATGTCTCTAAATTTATTCGCCATGAAAATTTTCCAGTTTCGTCTCTGATTAAATTTGTGATAAGGAAGTCTCGTAACGACTTTTCGCTAATTATTTCACTTAATTTAACATGTGCAGCAGCTCTAGCTTGCTGAATAGTATTTTGATTATCAATTTTTAATGACTGCATAGCATGTATGAATAATGGTATATTGCTTTGAGTTGATCCTATACGTCCGATGGGTGAAATATCAACAACAATGAGTTTCTCGACTAAATAAGGATACTTTAATGCTAGATACATGACAGCTCTACCGCCCATCGAATGACCTAATAAGGAAGCTTTAGCAAGATTATTTTCTTCAATAAATTCTCGAATATCTTCTGCCATCAATTCATAATTATGATTTTGAGTATGTTCGGTATCACCATGATTTCGTGCATCTATTGCAAAAATCTTTCTCTTTGGAACCGTCTTTTGAGCAAAAGCTTTACACAAGCTATTCCTGTATGTATAGAAAACGAGATACAGTAGATTAGAAGCTGTTATGCAATTTTTCAGTACAACTATTTAAATATATCTTTAGTATTTCACTGTCACAAACAAAATATTTCATGTATAGCTTACCAATTTGACTTACTACCGAATAATCCATGAAGTACAATCAGGCTTTTATCAGTGTTATCTTCTTTTTGATACTTATTAAAGGCGAGAGGAACTGCGCTATAACTTCTTTTAAATTGTGATGATTTTTGACAAGAACGGGATAATATGGAACTTATATATCTTGACAACATCTTGCACTAATTAAATCTATCTTATATAATTAATTAACAGCATAAAACTCTAAACAAGAAATATCAAACTGGTTTGTTTATAAACAAACTGATTAAATCCGTTTATAGGGGGATGTTATGCGTAAAACCTGACTAGAGTGCATTTTTAAGAAAATATATGAGCTATGTGTAGCACTTTGGGCTAATGATTGGCGTTAAATGACATTTTATTATTAAATTAAGAAAGCAAAACAATTCATTTTCAATGTTCTGTCAAGATTTTATTGATCTCAATTATTTTGAACTTGACTCAATGCTGGTTCAACAAATATATTTGAGCATAGTCGCTCCCACAAATAATATTAGTGACTTTTCAAACAAGATCAATTGTTATTTTGTGATTAGCATAGAAAACCAAGCTTGCAATTAGTTTACGGACCAAAATGCTTAATTTAGAAGATTATAAACTGGAATGTCTTCCTGATACTTGCTTTTATATTCCTAATTTCATCACTGAAGCAGAGGAAAAGCTCTTATTACATGAGATTTATAAAACACCGGTAAATTGACAAAATTTTTGACATTTTTAATATTATCAAGCTGTTTTGCAGAGCTGTAAATGGACACAGCTATCACATAGACGTCTAATGAACATTGGTGGAATTCCAATGAGTAAAGGAATGATAGCTGAAACAATTCCAAACTATTTACAGAATTATGTTGATCGAATTAACAAAATGAACATTTTTCCTCAAAATTGTCATGCAAATCATATCCTTTTGAATGAATATAAAGCTGGTGAAGGCATTATGTCACATTTTGATGGACCTATGTTTTTTCCAACAATATCTACATTGTCAATAGGTTCACATTGCATCCTAGAATTTAATAAACCACCAAAACAAGACGAGAAATATGAGATTGTAAAGGAACTAAAAGTTCTTGTTGAGCCACGAAGCTTGTTGGTCTTGAAAGATAATATGTATACAGACTACATGCATGGAATAAGTGAGATAAAGGAAGATGACTTGAATGATCCATTAGTTATGAATTTAGATAAATGTGACAAGCTCAATGATACAAAGTTGTTGGAACGGGCTACTAGAATATCTCTAACAATAAGGCACGTACCAAAAACATCAAAAATGAAACTAAAGTTCTTTAAATAACACCTTAAATGTGTGATTAAATCATATATTTTGTAATTTAAACATTTTTAATTCTTTTTTCATATAAAGTATCAATATTTTCGATATTAATTTTAATATACTTTTTCATGCACTTTTCACATCCGGAAGAATTTATAAAAATGTGACATAAACTGATAATAACACAAGAGAATACGTAAGTTATCAAAAATAACAATTTTGGAATGATTCCATTTAAATATATTGCGAATATGTATGAAAATTGATATCGATGATACCAAAAAAAAATATTAATAAGGAATAATAGACATAAAGCCTCACTGACAGAACGTATAATTTTCTTCTTTGAAATCATTACAAAGTTAACAGAGACATCAGATGAAGCTTGACAAATATAAGCTCAAACTGTTAAATAGACTTTATCTTCGGATTCATCAATATTTTTATGATAATTTCATGCAATCTCTTTTGCAGCTGGAATGTAGCCCTCCCAGTACTTGAGAATTTGTTTCTGAAACACCATTTGATCTTGGAGATATTTAACGATAGTTGCTTTAAAGTCTTTCGCACGATTCAATTCGAATCTCTCGACTTCTCTCTTAATTTCAGCTGATATATCCTCAAACTCTTTTTGACAGCGCTGAACTTTAGCTTCCCACTAGAAAATAATAGTCAATTAATTTATTGACAACCAAAAATTATTTATTAATAAGCTTACCTCCTCGACCTCTTTCTGAGCTGGTTCCAGCTTATCGTTGCGTTGACTTAATTCTATTTTAGCTTTATTTTCACGTTTCTTTGTTAGTTGAATCTGGGCGTGTTGCCAATTCTGAAATACTTTTACACGTTCATGAAAGACGTCTTTAATAGCGCCAAGCAGTCCAATATAGTCCTTGATCATTTCAGAAAGGATATAAAAGTCAGAATTTGACTGCTCAGATCGCAAAATTTCAATTTTTTCCTCAATATCGGCTAATTGAGACAAGGCTTTTGAGAGACCGACATGCTCCTCACATGTACTTAACATTGCTGCCGACTTTGCAACATTCCCAGTTAACTGAGCTAATTCTTGTCGGTGGACAACGAGTGATTTCACAGCAATGTGTAACTTTTGATACTGAGTATCGAGTGTATCGATTTCTGCAATTTTATCAGCAAACCATAAATCATTTTCGTCCATCTTATATGTTATTTTGTTCACAGTTTCTCCAACTTTGTTAAATAATCGCATCACACCAGCACTGCTTAATGCCGCTGTGTTTGTTGCTCGCGGCAATTCCAATTCACTTTCGAGAAAATTGATGAAATTCTCATCAAGGCGAAGTGTTGGATGTGCTGCAACACGATTTAAAAATCTTTCAAGACTAGCACGACGATTCTCAACCCACTCTTGTCCATTATTTGTTCCCGACTCGGCATTTTGTTGACTTCCCATTTTCACTTTTGTTGCTCCAAGAATATTTTTGGATGGTGCTGGAGGAATAATAAAGCCAGCACGTAGATAGCGCTCAACAAGTTGCTCGTGTAACCCCAAAAAATCACTAAATCTTCTATTTACAGTCGATTGTCTCCGTTTAAACTTAGTTATATTAGTCTTCGTTACGATTCTACAATGCAAAAAATGTATTAGAAAATTTAAAGTATTACATTTAATTCAATTAGCAGAATGTTCACATACTTGTAAGCTAAATAGCTATTCATGCCATCGCCAATTTTCTGAGGCTCATCTACAGAGATTTCAATTGATTTACCATCAATTTCCCTTTCATCTGATGTTGTTATGACGTCTTCCATTATAGCTGGATCTTTTGGCGATGATAAGACATCATTGTTCTACATAAAATAAGAAAAGATCAGTGAATTACTCTTAATAATCATGTATGTGCACAGTTAAACAAAACATGTACGCAATTTGTAGCTTGGTTTTTACATCTTTTGATAATAATAATTTTTCAGTACACGAAAGATAAGCACAATGAGTAATAACAATAAAAGAAAGTAAGGAATAAAAGTTTTTTCCCTAAAATATGTACCTGAATAGCAGATTTAAAGATATCTGTATCGTCATTTGGTGAGCTTATATCTACATTATCCATATGATCAAATAGAGGCGGTAGTGTTGACTCCATATTCAGCAGTTTTCACTTTTTTAAGACTTAATTAAACACGAAAAAATATTGTTCTTTGAATTATTTTCTACAGCAGTTGATCTCAAATTGTGAATCGCGGCACGTGAAAGCTTCGTACCCAGCATGTTTTTTTTGTAGAGAGCTTTTGCTGCTTCTTATGGAGTTTTGATGATTTGATTAAGTAATAAATTAGAAATAATGGCAATTTTTGATTGAGATATGAAGCTGTACAGCACTTATATCCATAAAAGTCCATTAACGCTCCGAAAAAGTTTGAGCAACACTGTATAAAAATGAACGAACCAAATTTTTGCGGGAAAATTCAATTTTTTTCATATCGTTACTTACTGGTCTTTACCGGCTTAATTTCACTAATTTACTTGCCATTTAATGGAATAATTTTAAGGATATCCAGTCAAAGAAATTTCTTGTAAATTCGTTAAATTCATTTATTATTGTAAATTTCATCTAATTTTACACAAACATCATAACATGAACAATAACATTACTTGTCTCTATAAAATTCTTCCTACTCGTTTCCCGAACACGTCAACGGAATGCATCATGCGAACGTCATTAAAGCGTAAAATCGATATGAAAATTTTTCTAGTGGATAACAGGACATACACTTAACGGTAGCTTTATATAAAAGGAGGTTTAGAATCTAACGATTTGGCAATTAGTTATTGGGGTAGATACAGGATTAGTATAGTTTAATTAAAAAATTCAGGTTCGTTGTAAACTTTCTTGCAAGTGTCAAATACATAAAAAAATATTAAAAATGGTTTTACATTAATAACTGATTAGACATGAAGGAAATCGCTGTCACTTAGTGGGGTTCGGTCGATGGAAATTTTAAAGCCTTGCGCTACTTGTCTTTCGATTTGACACAAGACGTAATCCCGTAATTTATGGTAAGCTTCTTTGAGATTATTGTTATGGACGACTAAATCAAAATTTCCTGGTGCCAATCCATATTTAAGCTCGGTTCTTGCTGTATTTAAACGTTTTTCAAGGCTCTCTTCCGTTTCTGTATTTCTAGCCCTTAATCGTCTCTCAAGTTCCTCAATTGATGGTGGTTCCACAAAGATAAAAATTGCATTAAGGTGAGAGTTTTTGACCTGCTTAACACCTTCAATTTCTATGTCCAAAACACAAATTTTTCCATGACTTTGAACTTTTTCAATAGCTTTTTTGCTAAAAATAGAATTTATCAGGCACGATTTATTGACAAATATTTGATAATTAACTTACCTTGTTCCGTAGATATTGCCACTGAAAACGGCAGTTTCTATAAATTCACCTTTCTCGATACCAGCTTTCATTTCTTCAACGCCAACAAAATTGTAATGAACTCCATCTTCTTCTCCTTGACGAGGCTTTCTCGTTGTATGCGATACAGAAAATCCAAAAGTATTTGGAAATTCTTTAAATAGTCGCTTTAATAAAGTGCTTTTCCCACTTCCAGACGGTCCACAAATGACTAAAGGCTGAATTCCTTTCGAAACCATTTTTCCTCCAATCGACGAAATTGCTGTTTGACGTTGAAAAGAAGAAATGTAATTAGATTTAATTGTATAATTTATAAATATATATTTTTTAAGCTGTATTATGCTAATGACTTGACGTTCAGGAACGAATGGAATGAATGAACAAAATGTATGAAACTGACCAAACAGCTTTATAGACATGTTCTGGCTATAAAATTGACATTTACAGGCACGACTTGTAAATATAATTACCTCTTGAAATCAATAGAGTTAATGAAAGCATTTTATCGGATAGTATTGATTATTAATTGAAATGTTGCGTGATGATTTTGGCCAAAATTCTATTCTATAAAATTCAATTTCAATTTTTAATCACTTGACAGGAATAGATACAGGATATAAGCACAGTTATTAGGTACAAGATTATTAAACCATAATTACCTTAATATTTAAAACAATATTAATTAAACGAAGCAATAATAATCCACAAAATGAATGAAATGGACGGTAAATTAAATTAATATTTCAGGTTTTTCTCAAAATTTTCCACTTTTTTTCTTAAAATAATTCAGCGTCAAGGTTAACGCACAATATCTTCTACTTCCTCGTACTGTATACTTTGTTATTTTCACTAAATGCCTCACGTTTTTTTAATATTTTTAAAGATTTTCACAATTTTCAATTTTCTTTGAAGAAAATTATTATTTTCTTTAATGTTGACAAAGGAAATTTCAAGCAAAATTTGTTATTTGTTTGATTCCTCTGATGAACTGCTATGTCAGTTGATTCCTTTATTATTATATGATGCTTTATTATCTTTTTCAAGTGTCAAGATAATTTAATTAACAAGATTCCACGTTGTTTTGAGTATTTTAATTATTTGTTGATTTTCCCGCTTTTAACCTCGTTTTGCAAGACTTGGTTTAAATTTTTAAAAACCGTTGAACTTTTTCACCACAATTTCACCACTTTTAACACGTGGTTGATTGGTAGATTTTAATAAACGTTGATTTCAGATGAGAATAAAATCATTTGGTCATATTATAGCAACTTTTTGATTTTTTGATGCAATCCAACTTTCGTTATAAGTTGTTACTAGTTTTGAATTCCACATAGGTACATCCATGTTATGTTATAAGTTGTCACTAGTTTTGAATTCAACATTGGTACGTCATAAAAGGATATCAAATTAATTCCTGAATTAGAAAATGATTTTTGTAAAGGATTTTAAGATATGACAAAGCTAGAAAATATCATAAATATCCCACCGTACGTTAGTCACAAAAAACATTTTGCTCTTTCAAACATTTTCTCTGTTCTCTTTTTTTAAGGCATTCAAGTCTATTAATTTTTTTATATTAGTCGCTAATTCTTTATGGCTGTAGTTTCAATCCTATGCAGATAGTAAAATTTTCACCACAAACATTTAATTAATTTTCCACTGATAAAAAAAATCATCTCAAAGCTCAAAATTTTATGCTCCGAAAGCGTGAGAAATAATGCTTTATGCTGCACAGCAGACATACAAAACAAAAATTGAGAGAGGTTGAGCAGAAGAAGAAAAGAAATGTTAAACAACAAAACTATTTTATTAATTCTCCAGTATAGTTTGAGCTGTCGCGGAGAGTAAACGGTCTTAAAAATTTAACTCCGGTATTTAGACGTTAGATTGTGGGTGAAATGAATAAATAAGAAAAACAAGTTCTTGTGTGACAAATAAAAAATTAAAAAAAATCTCCCGAAAGAGCTTAAAAGAATTTGAAGCTCGTGAAAAAAAGGGAAAGGAATGAAAATTAATGAGGATGAAATTATAAAATGAGCATCATTAAAAAGTTGTTTTAGGGCAGTTACAAGAGAAAGAGTTTACACAAAAAAAAATATACAGCAATAAAAAAATATCGGTGGCTGCTGCTTCTGATAATCAGTTTAAAAAAATAAAATAATAGTGAAAATGATTTCACAAAATATCAAAAAAAAGCTTAAAATGCAAGGTGTTTTAAAACTTTGGATTACATTTAGTCTATATATTGTTGGATTTAATTGTCAAGGTAAGCTTCAAGACATTCCATTCCGACGTTAGTTGCACATTCGAAATGCTTGAGTGGGAAACATTTTCTGTTCTCGTTTCCTTTTGTTATACTTTTAAAAAATACCTTTTTTTGCCACAGCAAATAAATAAGGCATAAAAAAATATCCAGAAGAGAATTTTTAATTAAAATTCTCATTACCAAATTATACGTTGGACTTGGTCACGTAACAAGTGCCTTTGGTGATATTTTCACAGGTTTTGTCATTCGCTGGTGGACCAGCATATTTAAAGGGTGGGGTTCTTTATGAAGAGTTTGTGTATGAGACCCCTCAAACCCCTTTCATATTAAAATTTTGAATATCTTTTTTTAAAAAATAACATCCCTGTATCCGGCACCTTATTGCTTTCTATTTTTCATTTTTGAACCAATTGCTACCAAACCAAGCAGTGGTAAAAAAACCAGAACAGTGTGAAAAATTTCCTACCCACGATGCGTAGCTGAACAGACCAGCATACTCCCTTCAAAAATATAAAACTTTAAATTCTACTCAGAATAAATATTTTTTCATTTAATTAAACCGCATACACATTACACACATGGACAGCATTCACAGCCTTGAACAGTAAAGCTTGCAGTTGTGGCTAAAAATAATTTTTTTATAAAACATGTCTCTAAAGTACTTTGTTACCGCTGAGCAATTACTTTTTACTCTTTAAATTGTTTAATGGAAATTCAACAGTACAAATTCGACTCGGTCAGTAAAACATAAATTCAGAATTTTTTATGCGGTAGACAATGGAAACATTTTCCTTCACTCTTTTTGTCTGCTCTTATTCACACTCAGCATAAATATATTGAATACAACAACAGATATTCTTGAAAGTCTTTAAAAGTAGCTATTCGGAACAAACGTCAATAGCTTTATGGGAAGTTCTTTGAACGAGATTTTTAAAGTGGTTTAGTTTATGAGGTTTTGGTTTAGAATACGCTGCGTGAATATTAATGAAGTGAATATACAAATTTTTTTTTCATAAGCAATCGAGTGCTTTAACAGAGTCAAGAGTCAAGGTGCAGATCATAGCTTATATTTTGAGCGCATTTGTTTACATCTAAAAATAAGACACTTCCTTCAGTTGCTTAAGCGGCAGAACTACATAGCAGTGTCCATTCCTTGAACTAAGCAACCAATAAGAAGATCGAAGTCATTTAATCAGCTTACTAAAGTAAAGAAGACGCAATACGAAACTTGATAAATGAGTATTATTAAAGGATTAAATGCCAAACATAACATTCTTGATCCACTACTTAACCTCTGTCAAATATGCTTATTCTGTATAAGTTTTATTCCAATTTTGACCTTTAAAATTTCATGGAACTTAATTGAAAGCTTAGTCAATTAATACAGCAGTCATTTCTTAATATTTGCCATTACTTGCTCGAATTTAATTTTACAGAAATTTACCAAATTGGTCAATAATTTACAGTAATTAATTTTCATGGAAATTCGAACTGAGTGTTGATGGAAATTTCTTCAAATTAGCTATTGACTATTTCTGCAATATTTGATTCGTATTTATTGCTTTTAGAGCAATTAAAGAAAAAAAGCATCCAGTCAAGTTAGTTCCATGCAAAACTCTGTTCAGCTTTAGAATCGCCCATATGCGAGCACAAAATTAGTTCCAGGACGCAACAAAAAGTCATAACAACGAAAAAATAAAATTGAAGCGAGTAGAAATCGTGATTGCAATTGACCCTGATGCTGTTTCAAGAAATTCAGAAAAGGCAATTTTACACTCAATCGATCCGTTTGATCACGAGCAGTTTCACGTTACAACGATCTTAACTTAAAGTCACATTTATTGTTGAATAATCATCTCTCTTTCATTTGTCTTACTAACATGGTGTGAACTAATCTAAACGACTGCACTGTGAAGGTATTTAAATTAGAAAACAAAAGTCATTAACCCAGTGTGATGTCATGACAAAAAAAAAGTGCAGCAACAATAAATAATAAAATTAATTGAATGCGTGTTTAAGTTTGAAATCATCGAACCGTTTCCAAAGTTCTCAGATGCTCAGACTAGACAATTGAAAATTTTGTTTTCATTTTCAAAATCATCGTGCGCGCAAATCATAAAACTAAATTATTTAACATTAAATAAACACACATGATGGTGTGGAAGCATCATACGAGAATACAAGAAAAATTAGTGGCTGTTTATGAGTAAACAGTCAGCAAGTTTAAATGCATGATTTTTACTTTAACTTTGTTATTTTCATGAAAATATTTGGTTTTTGGGATCGTTCGTTAATTCCGGTTGTAAAATCGTTTAGAATCTGTCAATAGAAGACTTTACTAAGGCTTTACTAAGGTTCAAGCAAATCTAGACCAGATCAAAGTTTCAATTTTCGGAGACTTTCGTTCATTCCCGATGTAATTTGAGGCCAAAGAACTTGTATTACCTGCACAAAAATTTACTTAAGATAAACCGCAGGTCTAGACCAATTCCATCCCACCTTAAAATTTGATTACAACAACAAATAAACCCAAAAAAAACAAGCTCGAAAAAACGAACAAAATTTTCCATAAAGTCAATTATCAAACACACGAGTAAGTGTCACTAATGATTGCGTGATGGCTCCATGCATGCATAAGTTAACATCGTTGCATAATGTCCAAATGCTAAAGTCATCTCTGGCCTTTTTGACTCTTTTTTCGTTTTGTTGCTTTTGTATAAAATAAGGCATGAAAACTTGAACATCAATAATGTCTGCTTTTGTGCAAATCTCTTCATTATTGTAATAACTTTGGCGTGATACAAAAAAATGCATGAGAAGTGATTTCAAAATTTTTTTTCTCTCGCTTGTTATTTCCACAAGCTCATCATCTTAATTTGCACTATTCTTTCAATCTTCGATTGATTGCTTTTGAAAATTTTCGACAAGATTTGCAATAATCAATCTTTTTTGAAATATCACACGAGAAAATAATAAGCAAAGAAGAGTTTTAAGAGCCCCGGCAGCGGAGAGAGTTCACTCATCCATAGACGGAGTAAAATATTGTCTTCTTTCATCTTTTTGTGCTCATAGCCAAAAAAGCGAAATATGGACCGTAACTAAATGAAGGAAAGGTGTGTTTACTCCAAAAAAAGAAGAAACAATGATCAATTTTGTGATGGTTTAGTTTGGTTTTATTTTGCCATCTTCAGTGAGCTCAAGAAAAGCTTTTTGATTACAATAAATTGCACATAAATTAATTTTCAATTTTCAATAAATCTTGGTAACGTGGAAGCACAGTATTGATTTCGTGTATCCAAAAGAAATAAATGGGAGTTTCCGGCACTTTGTAAGCCTAAGAGCGGCTGTTTCTTAAAAATAAGATGACAATAAGGTTTAGATTGAAAATAGTTACAGGCTCTTGCGACATAGACATCAATATTGAGTAGTTCTTGATTTTGTACAGTTTTTATGGCTTCGGTTGAGTTTTGGAATCAAATTTTTTTTAAAATTAGTCTGTTATGGAAATATGATATTGGTTTATACTGTTGAAAACCTTTCATTAAGTTAAGATGAAGCTGTAAAGAAAAAAAAACATATATATGAGATTAAAATGTCAAAGCTCAACAACAATACTGCAGGATTCTTGACTAAAGTATCTTTGCGTCGTATTTATTATACTTTTAGTGTCGTATTAGTTGTAAAGCTAATGATTCTTCAAAATATTTGACGTCATTTGTTAACAATTCCTTGCTAATGACTGCTAACGACGAAAAATTAACTTTACAAATCTCACACAAACTTATAAGTCCATACAATCATGTGATAAAAATAAGTTTACTTTAGAAACCATCCCACGCTTTGTATTGAGTATAAGGAAGTGACTCAAACTTGGATAACAACGCTGAATTAAAAATAGACATTCCAAAAAAGAGAAACAATCAAAAATGTCAAGCGAAATGGAGTATATCGATTGATTGTCATATTCTTGCCACAAATTTTTCATTCATTACGCATCGATTTTACGAATGCCGACTGCCTATATATTGTGAACGTAACAAAAATTGATCAAGCTCTATCAAAAAAGAGTTTCAGCCTCAAACTTTCACTCTATTGAATATTTCTTCGTATTATTTGTTTGCGTTTTTATGTCTTTCTTTGTGGTCTTTTGTTTGCGTACATTTTAATATTAATACTCTCAAAATGTATTCAACAAAAGCGATTAATGGACAAAAACTTAAGTCTGAAAAATTTCAATCAATTTTTCTTTAGAAATAGGAAAAGAGAATGAGAAAATATTTTTGAAAAGCTTATGTTTATCAATAAGCATTGTTTTTGTATGCAATTCATAATTTTCTTCAATTATTCCGTACACATAAATACAATGTTGCTGTTAAGTGAGAACTGGAAATATTCAATTATCAACTAATAAGATTATGAAAAAAATAAGAAATTAAAATTAATTGGCGTGTTGAAAAGTTATTTTTTTTTTTTGCCGGCTTGTCCTCGGGAAGTATCTCAAGTGTGAATCATGCGTGTTATGTCAAGTGTCGTTGTGTTGATTCCAGAGAAATATGAATTGTTTAACTTCAAAAAGAGAAATTTCTGATTTTTATCTCAATAAATTCACAGCTGTATTTTTGTGTAAATGGACACTAGCATGTCGCCTTGTTTCGTAGATCAAAGTATAAGAAACACCGCTCCAAAAGGATATTGAGCAAAACTTAAGACTTACAATGTAAAACTAAATTCAAACCACATCATTTCAGTCTCGAATTCAGTATTGCTAAGAACTTATAAAAATAAATCCATTGAAAAGGCAAAAATCACAATCTCTTAAAAAGACAACTTTAATTGTCAGGAAATTGCCAATGTCAATCGTTAACATTCACAAGACAAGCTCGATATTAATTCTTTGCAGTTGCTCGGGTCAATTTGTTTTTATCGATATTATAAATTCTATAAAAAGTTGTCTACATGATCCATTTTCATTTGTCTCTTGATGTCAATGTATGTGAGGT